ATACTCACTCACTTACTTACGTTTCTGGTGACGAAGCAGCCACCTAAGAATACCTTCATTAGAGTTGTTTTTAAAGTTGCAAGATTTGATAGTTGCTGTGGAGCTTTTGAAGAAGTACAAAGTTTCAATGTGAAAAGGTGGAAATGATGAACTGTGCATGAAATCCAGAAATGACTATATACGAGCACCTCTGTAGTTATAAACCGGAATTTATTGTTTTCGCAAACACCTGGTGTCATCACTGATCCATTCATTTAATTTTTCGCAGTTGTTTTTCCCTTTACACCAAACGGAATATGTTTCTCACGATGATATTCTATACGTATTTTAAACAAATCCAAAGTTTTGAAGAGAATGGGGTAGTGTTTTTGACTGTGAATAGTTGTAAGCCAGAACCTACAAGAATCCAAGTTCTTATTATCCAGTCTGTAGTCATAAATTGGAATGTATGTACTTATTAACCTACTCATGAACCCTAATCTATGTAGTCATAAATGGGAATTTATTAACCTACTCATGAACCCTAATTTATGTAGTCATAATGGGAATTTATTAACCTACTTTTGAACCCTAATCTATGTAGTCATAATGGGAATTTATTAACCTACTCATGAACCCTAATCTATGTAGTCATAAATGGGAATTTATTAACCTACTCATGAACCCTAATCTATGTAGTCATAAATGGGAATTTATTAATCTACTCATGAACCCTAATTTATGTAGTCATAATGGGAATTTATTAACCTACTTTTGAACCCTAATCTATGTAGTCATAATGGGAATTTATTAACCTACTCATGAACCCTAATCTATGTAGTCATAAATGGGAATTTATTAACCTACTCATGAACCCTAATCTATGTATTTTTAAACCAAAATCCATGTAGTCATAAATGGGAATCTATGCACTCACAAACCAGCTTGCATGCACTTATAAATTATAATCCATTTAGTTATAACCACGACCATGTATTTAGATAGAAGAGCCTGTTTAGTTATAAACTGGAATCCAAGTCAAAACATTGATTACACAACAGTCTCGTTTCCTGTTGACTGGGTTCCGTCCTATTGCGCAATTTAGTACAATAACCAGTCCAGAATTTTGAGACCAATTCATTTAACTGGATGCATAAATATTAATCAATATTATTTGATACATCTAATCACTTGTATATTGCAACACTACGCTCCTTATAACCATTGCAAACATGTCGTTCAGGGTGATCTGTCGTACAGCGAGCACTGACAAACAGAAACCTTGAAATCGTGGAAATCTCTAGAAAGGTTTAGCGGTCTGGTACGGATTTGATATTATATCAATCACATTGTGCGTTACACCACTAAACCGAATAAGCGCAAAAAATACATAACACGTGTAACCAGTTAGCCAGATGCATTGCGAATCATTTTACGACCTCATCAAACTGGGGCAGTCTGTGACGTCTTAGTTAAGGTCATGCTGCCTACACCTCGCCATAAAATGTAGAAATACGATGTTATTAAAGTTTAAAATTAAAATTCATTTGTAAATACCATTTTCTAATGAAACAAGGAATTGGAATTCAGTGTAATCATAGTTCTTTGTGATGTCTATTTTCACTTTCACACGAGAAAATTCGGATCGGCTGAAAAGTAGGTCATTGTCTGAATAGGTTAATGAGACTCGTGTTTCGGTTTGAGAAAGTTATAAATGAGAATCCCCATAATCTACACCAGGTAATCAAGACCAACCACACAGTAGGAGCCCTTAATGACATCATCCACAAAAAGTGAGTGAGTGAGTTTAGTTTTACGCCGCTTTTAGCAATATTCCAGCAATATCACGGCGGGGGAACAACAGAAATGGGCTTCACACATTGTACCCATGTGGGGAATCAAACCCGGGTCTTCAGCGTGACGAGCGAACGCGTTAACCACTAGGCTACCCCACCGTCCCTCCACAAAAAGACTCCAGTGATATTCATATGTTGTTTTACATGCATGTATACAGCAATGATGATGATGATGGTGATGATGATGATATTCATTTCAATTATCTGTTTTAATGTACAGAATGCTTCTTGGTTTTTAAGAACCAAACCGAACTTCCAGTGAAGTAGTGGTTTTACTTGCAGTAATGGCTGACGGCCTGTCAGCATCGCAACTAACTTGTGTTGCATGTGGAACATGCAGAGGTAAACGCCATGGACATTCCAACAACTTCTTTCAGTAAGGGACTGTTCATAACTTATGTCGATCCCCGACCGCGTCATACCAAAAGACATTCAAATATGGTACTTGTTGGTCCCTGCCTGGCGCTCGGCATTAAAGGGTAAAACAAGTTTGTCCTGATGAAGATGAACAATTATGCCAGATGTATCCACAGCAGAAAGAAGAAAGGCAAAACAAGGACTGGTCGGCTCGGAGTCAGTATAATGTGTCTGAGTGCTCAGTTACTTGTCTGACATTTAGTAAATAACTGATCGATACAGTTGATGATTATCGATCTCTCTGATACAGTAGTTTCATAGACATTGGTTTAATGTAATGACCACTTCAATGGACAAATAATATATGGTCTAAGCTTATTAGCAATTAATATTTCTACGGCCATACCAATTTTATTTCTTGTTTTACGGATTTTTGTCCTCAGAAAACCTAAAGGCAGGAGGAAAAAAAAAAAAAATAAAATCACCATTCAAAGTAATATTCCTTCTAAATATTAAAAGTATTTTACTTTTGGCAATTTATTAAGTGTATATGGGGCAAAAACAATTAAAAAAACCCATTTTCTTGTAAGTTTACGTTTTGGGACAATAAAAACATTAGGATGTTATTTTTTGAGCGGGGAAAATTAATTTCTTCTTTTTTTCTCATTCTTGAAAAAGCACGACCGGCGGATCCGTAAAACAAGAAATAAAATTGGTCTGGCCTAAGTATAAAGAAAAAAATGACATAGAATTTAGAAATGGCATTGTGTATTCATAGAATTTCAAGTTATTACTGTATATGCATTGATTGGCTCACAGTGACTTTGGTCCATGCTGTATTTACCTATATTCTACAGAGCTACAGATAACTTTTTGGGTCATTGAGTTATATACTAAATTGGGTATCCCAATTTTCCTATGAGTAACCTAATAAATTGTACCCACCTCACTCAAACTCAATTGGGTATTTTGCCATTTTCCATTAATTTTAAAAATATAATAAAGTTTAAATGTTGGTTTACGTGTTTGTTATTTATATTTGATCTGTAATATGAGAAACTATAAGAAAGACTGCAAGTTGCCAAGTTCATGTGTTGAAATAGAACCTCTCAATACACCTCAGTTATTTCATCTATCCACCGGTACGCAAGCTACGATCTGACATTTTTGTGTCTACTCATGTAAGATCTTATTTATTGAGTATTTACATTCAAGCATACCTGTTCGCAACAGTCTTACAAGGAATTGAGTTTTCACATAATTATTTGCGTAATTTATGCAGATACGCAGCTATATCTGTTCTAGTTATAGCATGTCAGCTTGGTTTTTCCTGTTTTGGTAAGCATCAAATATGTAGTTGATCAAGAAAGAACACCTCAACAGTAAGTTGGGCTTTAAACAATGTTAAATGATGCTTTTCACAATATTCCAGTTATATCATGGCATGTCAGTCTAATCACACTAGGTTTACTCCCACTGTGCCCACTTTTTTAAATGGGCAGTGTTAAAAAACAGTGGGATTAAAGTCTGTATCAGGCTAGTGGCCAGTGGTATATATAGTATAGTCTACTTAACTCTTTAGTCATAAACTACATACTTAATTCATAAACTAGTATCTAACTGCCATTAACTCAGCAAGACATAAGTGTAATGTGTTTGAAACATCAGCATGAGTAACACCAATAACATGTCATATACATGGGGATATACAGAAGGAAGTTTGCTGCTTCATCGCGGGAACGTAGATCTGCGAAGAAATTAAACAAGCATAAGTAAGAATGATAAATAACATCATGAAAAACAATCTGAGAAACCTGAGGTTGCAATTATAACATTGGACACTACATTTCCCTGCTAAAACCCCTAAAATCCTAATGTTTTTATTGGCCAAAAATGTAAACTTACCCCAAAATATTTTTTTCATTGTTTTTTGCCCCATATACACTTCATATATTGCCAAAAGTAAAATACTTTTAGTAATTTATTCAGACTTGTGGTCACTGCGTCACCAGACTTACCTTGAAACTAACTATAACTAATCCCTTTATTGTTCTACGGGTGATTGCATTTTGTTGTTTTGAGATAAGTGGGCACAGTGGAGGTACACCTCACACTAATGCAGGAGGAAAGCTAGACTAAGGCTTAGTCTCTGAATATATATAATTTTGATAGTAACAAACAAGCCCATTTATATTGAAAAGGAGCCCTAGGGAGACCAGAGATTCAGAACCTGAGGAAATCTAGACTTGCTTTATTTAGGGCTTTAGCACAGCAGAGAGGGCTTGGCAGTAGGGAAATTAATGTGGTTCAGGGACTGTGAGACAGACTAGAGGAAAGCCTGCTCTGTCTCAGAAGTCTATCACATTTTCGAAAACCATAAACATGTGCATAGTGCAGACATATCCAGTAACATAATCAGGCCAAACCATGACTTGATTGGTTGGTTGGTTTGTTGTTTAACGCCACACTCAGCAATATTCCAGCTATATGGCGGCAGTCTGTAAATATTCTAGTCTGGGCCAGACAATCCAGTGATCAACAGCGAGAGCATCGATCTACGCATTTGGGATACAATGACATGTGTCAACCAAGTCAGCGAGCCTGACCACCCAATCGCCTCTCATGACAAGCATGGGTTACTGAAGATCAATTCTAACCCAGGTTTTCATGGGTAACTGTGAACACGCAAAGGTTTCTGCCGAGCCCAGAGGATGCAATTTTCAAATCTGCACAACAAATAGCTCAACATCAAATCCTTAAGAATCAATACCTCAAACTGACAAACCGATGAATAACATACTCATGACAGGTATTAAAAGTCTTTTTATTTTGTTATGTAAATTGGAAACAGCATCATTTGTTTGTTGTATAATGTCTAAACTTTTCTTGTTTGTTATTGAAACCTGAGAGAGAGTGAATACATGCATATTGATTTATGCTACAGTAAGTTTTACAGCCATTACCTGTATAGATTCATATCAGTAAACCACTGGCTGAGGGCATTAAATGAGTTCAGCTTCACACTGCTTTAAGCAATATTCCCGCAATATCACGGCGGGGGCATGTGGGGAATCGAACCCGGGTCTTTGGTGTGACGAGCAAACACATTAACCACTGGGCTACCCCACCATCCCTGAGTGCATGAGTACTGACTGAGACAAGATAACATGTCTTGGGTCCAGTCCAGTTCACTATGACATCTCCACATGACTCAGTTAATACTCTACATTGACCCTTCAGGGAGCAATTTTGCTATTTGCAAGCTGCACTGGTGATAATTAAAAATGGCTGCCTTATGTTGTCGCAAGAGCTAAGGAGGTGTTACACAGGTTGCACCTAGTGCAGGTACTGAAAACCCCTGAAATTGCACTATGGCCTCAATCACATCAAAACAGGTAATATAGGTTGCAGGGTTCATTGCTCATCACCCTGTGAGCTGTGACGATCCAACCACTTCTGTATACATAAAACGGTATTGTATTTTGACTGAGCTACAGTATCACAGGGGTGACCAAACACACGTTTCACTGACAAACTCAACTGGAGATCCATCGAAAAGGACCTATCAGTATCACTGCTAGAGTTACATCTTTGTCTTTTTGAGAGGGGTGAGGAAACAGTTTTAATCTGATCCTCACGTACTTCCTCCTCCCTGTCTCTCACCTCATCATCAGAAGTGGGACAGAAAGAACGTTTTCTTTTGAAACTGTAGACACATCTTTGTCTCTTCTTCACACTCACTGTCGACGTGCATTCAGAATGTGATGTCGTTTTGGAAGTCTTCCCTGAGGACAGATGTCCAGCCAGTGACAACACTGATGGATTTGCGTCCTTGTAAGTGCCCACTGACGATGCATGTTCTTGGTGTGGGGTGGAGTCATCTTGACTTTCACTCTGCTCTCCAGAAGCATCACCAGAGTGTGCTGATTTACAATCTGGCGAAGACTCCGACACAGACATGACATCACGCTCAGCTTCATCACAGTCACTCCCAGCCACATCTTTATGATGGTCAATCCCATCCTGATCAGAGTCATTTATACCCACATCTTTACGTCGGTCACTATCACGTTCATGTGAGTTGCGATCATCTTTACATAGGTCATCCTGACCCTCATGTGAGTCACACTCATTTTTGAAAAGGTCACGCTCACTGTCATGCAAGTCATTCTGGAATACAACTTCTGCATCCCTATCAAGACCTACATGAAGATCCCTCTCAATCAGGTCTGTATGACCAAAAGATTTGCCATCATGATGGTCATCCTCCCCAGCTTCATCAAAGTCACGCTCAGATGCAAAGCACTCCATAACATCACCACTACTTAGTGTCCCACATCCTGATGAAGGTTTAGCCTTCTGCAGCTCTGTGCAGTTTTCTTCATGTACATCAACTCCTTTGTTATTATTTGTCTCATCAACAGTGCATCTCACTCCTTGACAAGCAAAAGGAGGACCTTCATCCAGCTCTTGCTTGCATCCTCCCTGTTTAGACCTCCCCTTCATATGTTGTAGGTACATAACATGACAAGCTTCAAATCCTTGTGACCCTGGAACTTCATTCATTGAACAAACATCTTCATTGCAAAACCCTTCACCATCAGTATCACTAATACCTGATTTATCTTTCTTCGGACTAAAGGTTTCTTTTGTCACATCCTCAACATCATTGTGTTTGTTGGATGTTTTGTTCCACACCTCTGAAGCAGATGCACCGGTTCCAGTTGTACAATCCGATACTTCTAGATCTAATGACTCAAACTCTACACCCCGTGGTGTGCTCTTCTTAAAACGAGGATTTGACCTTAGTTTCTTTAGCCTTGGTTTTCTTGCCTGATGATGGAGATCAACATCAGCTAGCTCATTCAACATGAACTTCTCTCATTATAGAACTCCTTTGGTTACACTGTGCTTGACAATATTTATCAAATACAGACATATCTGCTCTAGATTGCAAAGAAACATTGAAAGGTCCTTTAGAATCTCCATGAACGATTGGCACCACTGAAGCAGGTTTCAACTTGGATACAAACTCAACAAGCTCTCTATAGGAACTGTGGTCAGAATAGGGCACAACAAAGACATTGTCTTGATTCACGTACGGTTGTGCACCTATGCCAGTGTAGATAGAAGTTGGCAGAATTGCAATGGTCTGTTTGGTGGCATTCCACTTCTGCATGTTCACAGCATCTGGAAAGGTACAGTCCTGATCCTGCAGGATGGATCCTGAGTCCGGAACACTCTTGGTAGGTTCAGGATTTCTGCTAGAACAAACATATCTCCACTGACGGAGATCCATTCCTTGAGTTGTTCTGCTAGCCACACCAGAAGCTCCTCCTTGCCCAGCTTCCTCACCCCGATGATGATGTCATATTCCGGATGTTGTCTGATGATGTCCAGGATCTGCTCTCGAGCTTCTTCCCGGATGGAAACAGGCATTCAGGGCTGCAGAAGGTGTTGTCTATGTACAGGACATCAACACTTTCAATGTGAGGAAACAGGGGGCTTGGTTTGCAAAACATGGTAGGGTGGTATCTGAAAAGTGAACATGAAGAGAAATTACAACTAAAGCAAGGTAAAAAATGGTTTCTGTACAGATAATTATGAAAGCATATTTTGAGTTACTGAGGCATATGTTGTTCAGATGGTGAGTGAGTTTGGTTTTACGACATTGTTAACCATATTTCGGCAACATCACCAATGAAGGAGGGTGGGGGCACTCCAGAAAGGGGCCTCACACGTTTTGACCATGTGAGAAATGAACCTAAATATAGCAGCTATCTTTAATACTGTTTATGTCCAACAGTATTCTGCTTTCAAAAACTTTCTAAATTTTGATTCATTTATTTATCAACCTGATATGGTGATATACATCTACGCCAGGTTCAGCAGTCCTAGCAGAACACTAACATCTTTTCATTGGCGGATCCAGAGGGGGGGTTCAGGAGGTTTGAACCCCTCCTTTTGAAAATGACTTTAGACCACACTGAAGATTTTTTTTGCGTTGGCGGAGCCAATGGTGTGTGTGTGTGTGTGTGTGTGTGTGTGTGTGTGTGTGTGTGTGTGTGTGTGTGTGTGTTGTGTTTATAACCAATCATGATGTATTACACAGCTTACATCTACAAGTTACGGCTGTATTACCTGAAATCCCCTGTGTGTAGGATCTTGCCAAAAGTTCCCTCAAACAAAAACATGGCCGCACCAGGGCAGTGGTTGGCATCGATGACTGTCACACAAATAGTCTCCATTTTCCCACTGGTTGTGATCATGTGACATTCTCCCACCTCCAGAGGTCTGAGGTACTTGGGTTGAAGGCCATGCCGTTTCCCTAGCAGTTGAGCAGTGACCTCTGTGCAGTAGATTGGACGAGACCATGAGGATGTCAAACCTACAATATGGTCACCGTGGAGATGGGTGAGGAAAAATGTCAGATGAGAGGTGGGTTCTTTCCTAATCTTCCAAAAGTCTACTGCAATGTCAGTCCCGGGGATGATACAGCCATTCATTGTGACTGGTCATTATATTCACCATGGTATCATTCACCTTGTCCCACCTCCAGTCTGTAAAATAAGTCAGTACATTATTACTCTAAGGCAAATTGATAGATTTTCCATCCTTAGATTCTCAACTGCAATAATGCATAAAAATATGAATTACAAACCCTTCATACCAAAGGGGGTAAGACTTCCGCCTGTATCCCCCCTAAATTTTAAAGATGAGACAAATTTCTTCGAGTGGCATTTTTAGAAGTTGGATATGTCTTTCAGTATGTTCAGATACAATTAAGGAAACATATTAAAACTCATCCTTATCAGATGAGGAATATATATATTCAGGTAATATGATTTGACTAGCATGAAATTTAAGGGGGGATACGGGCGGAAGTCTTTCCCCAAAGGGCAGCTATATATGACTTATAAAAAAATGTTAACGCAGTAGAGTCAAGGTTTTACATTGTGCAACACTTTCTCCTATTTTGAACAATTCATCCGACACAATGAAAATACTGCATAATAATGAATACGTACAGTGACATGCCTAATATTAAAATTAGTTAAACTGTTTTGCAATATTCTTTTGAGTATTTGATGTAATTCACACCTGACAGGTGCAGATCTTGTCCTTTTAACATGATTACATTATACAATCACTGTCTTTAATTTTTTATTATTGTGCGGAAAGAGTTCCTTCCATTCCCCCAACCCTAAACCTAACCCTGACTTGAATTTTGGACTTTTAGTCATTTTGTGAGTTCTCTAGTAATTGTTGTGTTAAGTTTTGTTAATAATTTTATATTTATACAATATTATTTAGGATGAGGGAACGGGAGGAAATCTTACCAATAAAACAAACTGTAAGTTATTCGGTTAGTGGCAATACACATACAGACTGCCGCAACAAGCTGAATACATATCACAGAATAGGACTAGTTCAACGTCCATTCATTAAATGATTTGGAATATTGAAGAGATGTCGTGATGGGCGGTGTGTTTATTGGAAGCTCGAATAGGTTTTATTGCTTGAAGTTATACCTTTCATTGGAGGCAAATACAGCAACAAGTCGTAACAGTTGTAGCAACATTTTGAATGGGAACAGCTTGATTTACGCGCTCTTGGTGTTAAATTGGTTATCTCCCCTGTTTCTCTCGAAATACATCAAAAACGAAACGAAACCATCCTATCGGTTGCAGAAAATTCAACAGGATGGCGAATTTGTTTGGATCTTATTATCATTTGTTGGTCAATGTCACTATAAAGCGAACTATAATGCAATTACATTTTATTATGACTCTACGTAATGTGTATATGAATCCTATTTCAAGAAGTATTTCCAAATGTTGTTCGCATTTCCGCTTCCGGGTAGCATGTCTGCGGAAAATTTGAGCTGATATCTTTTGACCTTTTGGAAAGTCACGGTGTATGTATGTTACTTGATGCGTTTATTGTAATTTTGCCAATTATCACTTTAAGCGTATGAGTTGCCGAAAGGCTTCCAGACCTCAAGTATCACGTGGCACGAAGATTTAACGAAGAATCATCTTCATCTGTCCGATGACAAACTTCCTGTGTAATGATATTCTGAACAATTTAAGGAGCTTAACCGGCGTGTGCGTGCGTGCGTGCGGGTAATCGATTCCTAACTGTCATCTTAATTTGAATGTGTGAAACGGGTTGTAGTCTAAAGGACCACTCTGAAATGTTTTAAATAAACAACACTTAAGATACTCTGACTCTGCGATGTTTAGTTTGGCCCCTAAACAGACCAAACAGTCAACATGAGATTTGCAGGCTGTTATTTTATCTCTTGTACATATGCCATGGTGCTTCAATAACTCATCAAAAAGCATTAAATGTTTGTTAAACCATATTGACAGGTATTAATCCCCAGTATATGATAGCATATATGACTTTTGTGATTCTTTTTGAAGGAGTTGGTGACCTGATGGCATCCAATTATGCAAAGCGAATGGGTCACCTGGCTGCTCGCATCTTTGGTGAAGTAGCTCGTCCAACCAGTCTGCGGTCCATGAAGGTGGTGAGGCTGATGAGGGAGCTCCCTCCCAATCTGAATCCAGAAGTGGTCAACTACTACCCTCGGTACAAGGACACAAACGGTCTCATGATCAAACTCAGGAAACACGGCTTGTTTAGGTAAAGTGTTCCTTAATCGCTGTAACTAGCCAGTCATACAGACATGGAAACAAATATGCAATCAATACAGCCCATTTGTGTCTAGAGTGTGTGGTAAGCCTAGATTACCTCAGTTTCAGGCTGAAAATGAAAAAAGTAATTGGGCTACTTTTTATTATATTTTCTGAATGTTAGTTAGAAGCCATGTTTTTCTGTAAAATGTGTTCATTTCAGAGACTAATTGTTAGCCAATGCTGTAACCAATGATTTCAGTCCTTTGAGTGAGTTTAGTTTTAAGCCGCTTTTAGCAATATTCCAGAGATATCACGGTGGGGATTCAGTTCTTTGATGAAAATTGAGTACAGGTCGTCTTAAGATGGTCATACAGCATGTCCTTGAAGATTGGGTCTTCATCAACCCATGATTGTCTTAAAGACTAAAGAGTTGCAAGAGGTGATTAAATGGAATCAGGAAGTCACACTCGATTGATAGTTGATATTGTATTCCATTTGCATAAACTGATGCTCGTTATGTTAATCACTTGACTGTCTTGACCAGACTCAATTACTTTCAGATTGCTGTAACATAGCTAGAATAATGCTGAGAGCCTATCTTTACTCATAAAGCAGATGTCACAAATATTGTGTAACAAAACATTGTCAAAGTTTTCAAATCTTGTCCTTTTTCCAGGGATGAACATTTAGACTTTCAAGAGGAGATGACAAGGTTAAAGGCACTGAGGGGGAAAGTGAAGCCCAAGAAGGGAGAAGGAAAGAGAGCGATGAAGAGGAAGTGATGTGTCCCAAAGACTTGTGTATTTCAGTGTGTGGAATGTGTTCCAGAGTGTGATTGATGACATAAAGAAACCAACATCCCCAGTCCAATATTTGTACAAATGTGGACCAAGGTATTATCATGGATTTCAGAGTGAATTGTTCTCACGTATGCTGTTGTACCATTCTCAGTCCGTACTCACTTGTAACTTGTATACATTGACTTTGTATACTGTTAAAAGGAACTCTGGTTACATACACTTATCTGGCTCACTAGACTAGCTTGAAAGTTGCCATTGTGTCATGTATGTGTCAAGTGTACATGGGCCTGTGGCCATTGTGCTGAAATAAACTTCACTAACATGTCTTTAGAGTGGAAACTCCAGGATTGCATTTATCATGCTATCTTTGTAAGGTCTCAGTTTCTTGAATCCAAACAAAATTCTCTATATTATTCGAATCATGGGCCCCCTGCTTTCATCTTTTACAATCAGTGATATGAAAAGGATCCTCAAGCTAACATAATTAGTTTGACCATAGATTATGTAGAGGAGTTGTGAGGACGTGTAAAATATATGTTCATGAATGGTTATTATTTGGATACTGTCTTGGTGAAGATGTTGAATGTGCTATTTTTCACAGATTGATCTTGTACCGTTAGTTACAAGTGTCTTCTCTGTAGGTTGTTACGAAAGAATAAATGTTTATCTTAAAACTTGTTTGTTGGATTTAGTCAACAGTGAAAAATTCCAACTTAAATTTAGAATGAGGCAGTTAAGTTCAGATGTTGAATGTTTACTGGCTCTGTGTCATGTTAATACAGTACTTCAGGTACTGTACTTCAAACCATGTCAGCTTAATGTAGGAGGAACTCCCTAACTGATGCCGTTCTCAGACCCACATATAGTTCCGTCTCCTATTCTTGCGGTAAACGTGTTTTATACCGAAATCGCTGATGTGCGACACCTACTTGTTGTTTACTTTGCCGAACGGTAACTAGGAAGTGGCCTAAATCTGCTAGTGATCAAAACTCCGTAACGTGACTGCCTCATGTCGTCAATGGCGCGTGGAACTGTTTATCACCGGGCTCAAAAGTGGTACTTCACCTGATGGATCTGGCAGCTGATGGCTGTAGTGTTGGGAATTGGTTGAAATCTCAAAATTGATGATTGCTTCATTAGCAACGAACAAGCATCGAAAAAAATTGGTTAGCGTCATTTTTCAGATTTTCCTATCCAGTTTGTTATTGCAGATATGTATAAAATGATTGCAACTTGCTACTTTAAAGTGATGACTAATATATCATGAACATAAACTTCCTGGAGTCTTAGAGAAACATTCAGTCATGGCTTTTCAGTTAGTGAAGTGAGTTTTCTAAGAATTAAACATGTTTTCAGGCCCTGACAACTTCTGAGATATGTTCCATTGTCAAGTTTTTCAAAGACTTAAATGGTAGTTCCAAAATCGTTTATGTTCGACTATGAGAAATTGTGATTGATTGCTTGGTTGTTTGGTCACTGCGACCAATCTTCGATTATTTAAAATTAATCGGAACACCACTAGATTGCTGTAGATGTTAGAGGAGAAGGCCCTTCATGTAAAAACAATGAGCTTTCATATGGTAAGAATTGTTTGTGTTATTATTTCATCCGATATCTGTAAGTACCGCGAGAATAGGAAACGCCTTCCTATATGGGTATGGTGCTCACAAGTCATTAATCAATTTAAAGTTTATGTGGGATTTGGTGGCAGTGGTGGTTGCATGCTTTAAGAATGTTTATTAAAAAAGGAATAATTCTTCTAGGTATTCATTTAATAATTACACTTTCACATTCCAAAAGCACAATATGAACATTACATACATTATTTACAAAATATGCAAAGTACTGCAGAATATAAAAACATGGGTCATATGAAAACATCTATTGTCTACCAACTTTTACACACACAGAGGTGTCATGTACACCCAAGCATGGGTAGACATCTATTCATAAAGCATGACATGACGCTGTGGAAGATGCAAGAAACTGGCTCCACACACTGTACCCATGTGGGTCACCAAAGTGGATGTTTAACCACAAGGCTACCCCAACAGCCCCAAAACAGCTCGATTTCTAAACAGTGATGTTCATCATGCCTGTATAACTTCAGTACGTATAATACTTTTAACCATTTGAATGATATATTAAAAGACAATTTAAACAAACTTCAAATGATTGGACATTAACATGATTTAGGTTTGAACAAACATTGTACATTTCATGTAATTACAGAAAAATGAAACTTCCAATTTCTTAAGTAAAATCGACACATGAACTATCATGTTATTTTACAAATCACAGACAAGCTTCGCAACTTAAACAAGCTGCTATGACACAGGAACTGAATTGTTGATGGGTGGCAACACTTTATGTCGATCTGACCCTGGCCTGTTGCGTGAGGCAGGTCGAGGTGCAGAGGGTGGTCGAGGAGCAGGGAGCTCTCTGTTGGAGGCTGATTTGTATCCCTGTTCAGAAATCAGTTCGAGTGGGTTCACAGTTTCTGTAGGCAGGAGGCCTTTATCAGCGTTGTTCTGACTGGGTGGGGTGTTGCCTCTCTGTAGCTCTGTGGCAGAGTCTAAGTCGGAGAGCCCAGAACCCGATCCTTCATCTTCAGTGCTTGAGTCAGGTGACGCGGGTGGAAGAGCGCCGCTGTTCTCCACACTGATGGTGTTGACGGGGGCGGAGAAGGCACGAAGGTCAATCTCATCACCCAGACCTACTTGGCCATCCACAGCTTGAGGGGCTGTCTTGGGATATCTGTACAACAGGGAATAGAGATATTAGAAATATTCCAACAATTCCATGGTGGGGGACATCAGAATGGAATTTCATCAGAATTTGACACATAATTCCCAAGTGAGGAATCGAACCCTGATCTTTGCCGTGACAAGTGACTGCTTTAATCCTTAGGCTACCAGGATTGAGTTTTACGCCGCTTATAGCAATATTCAAGGGATGTCATGGCGGGGGACACCAGAAATGGGCTTCACACATTGTACTCATTTGGGGAATCGAACCTGGGTCTTTGGCGTGACAAGCGAACACTTTAACCACTAGGCTACCACACCGCCCCTGAGTGAATAAGAACCTGAACTGAGTAACAATTCTTAATTTTCCACTTTTTTATATAAATCCAGCACAAATTACCTTCTGACTTCCCGTCTCAAATTATAACACAATAAATGTATACCCCCATCAGAATCCTGACAATATGTTTGAGTGTCAGTTGGACACCTACCCAGTGAGCAGCTGTTCATACAGGGGAGGCACATAGCCTGCCACTACCTCCTTAGCTGCACTGTGTCTCCTCCGTAGGGACTCCTCCTCCTGAAATACACAGGTGAGTGAGTGAAGGGGTGCTGTCAGGAACATTTATATATATAGAAGTTTCCACAGTACACATAAGGTGTTACCCTGAAGTTTGACAAGATGGACAATTCCGTTAGGAAGGATATCATCTGAATAAATGAGATCACTAGAATGGTATAAAACAGTTGAACTGATTCAGGACAACACAAAATGTGTTTGCTTGTTGTTAAATGCCATACTAAGCAATATTCCAGCTATATGGCAGCGGTCTGTGAATAATCAAGTTTGGACCAGACAATCAAGTGACCAACAGCTTAAAGTGATGCAGGTTGTTGATGTTTATCACATGTACAGGACTGAAGGAAGATTAGCAGATTCTGGGATGTTCAAGGGATACAACTCTGTACACAGAATCGTGGCACCTTCGACCACTGGACCCGCCATATCTCCAATACAATTTATCGGGACACAGGAATTGCATGAATGTTTTCAGAACATCATTACAAACACTCCCAAACTTCCAAGCCACACTAAAAATGGGCTTCACACATTGTACCCATGTGGGTAATCGAACCCTGGACCTCGGCGTGACGAGCGAGCGCTTTAACCACTAGGCTACCCAGCCACCCCAGTAGTTTCTAGACAAACAGGGTTCAGGTTAACTGCATCAAATACTGCCTTCAAATGGATCAAGCCTAGTTCCAATGCATATCAAACACATGCAAATACTCCCGTTCCGAGGTTTCATTCAGACAAACAACATCATGACTCCAAATTTGTTCATCATACATTATAATCAAATTCCCTGTTTGCCTCTCTTCCAAAAAACTCATGGTGTTTAATTACTGCAGACATATATCTGTTTCCAACTCACCACAATCCCCCTTCCAGTTGTAGCAGGGGAGGTAACTTTGCCTCTGGTCTGTGACATGCTGTCTGGAAGGCTTGGTTTAGACCAGGTGCGTGCCCCCATCATGGTGGCTGAGGCACCACCAGGGAGGGGTACATCGGGTCTCCCCATCGCCTCCCTCATAGTTAGTGGTGGGGTCGGGTCATCGTGGTGGGCTTACATGGAGCTGATACCCAGGTAGTCCATCACCAGGTGACGCAGGCTGACGGTAGCCTTCTTGGATGTCATCTATGGGCATGATAATATAGGTATAGTTAGGATCCAGAGGGGGGGTCAGGGGTTCGAACCCCCTTTTGAAAAATGACTTAAGACCACACTGAAGATTTTTTTTGCGTTGGCGGAGCCAATGGGGTGTGTATGTGTGTTAGGTGTGTGTGTGTGTGTGTGTGTGTGTTTTATAACCAATCATGATGTATTACACAGCTTACATCTACAAGTTACGGCTGTATTACCTGAAATCCCCTGTGTGTAGGATCTTGCCAAAAGTTCCCTCAAACAAAACATGGCCGCATTCAGGGCAGTGGTTGGCATCGATGACTGTCACTACAAATAGTCTCCATTTTCCCTCTGGTTGTGATCATGTGACATTCTCCCACCTCCAGAGGTCTGAGGTACTTGGGTTGAAGGCCATGCCGTTTCCCTAGCAGTTGAGCAGTGACCTCTGTGCAGTAGATTGGACGAGACCATGAGGATGTCAAACCTACAATATGGTCACCGTGGAGATGGGTGAGGAAAAATGTCAGATGAGAGGTGGGTTCTTTCCTAATCTTCCAAAAGTCTACTGCAATGTCAGTCCCGGGGATGATACAGCCATTCATTGTGACTGGTCATTATATTCACCATGGTATCATTCACCTTGTCCCACCTCCAGTCTGTAAAATAAGTCAGTACATTATTACTCTAAGGCAAATTGATAGATTTTCCATCCTTAGATTCTCAACTGCAATAATGCAAAAAAATATGAATTACAAACCCTTCATACCAAAGGGGGTAAGACTTCCGCCTGTATCCCCTAAATTTTAAAGATGAGACAAATTTCTTCGAAGTGGCATTTTTAGAAGTTGGATATGTCTTTCAGTATGTTCAGATACAATTAAGGAAACATATTAAAAAACTCATCCTTATCAGATGAGGAATATATATATATTCAGGTAATATGATTTGACTAGCATGAAATTTAAGGGGGGATACGGGTGAAGTCTTTCCCCAAAGGGCAGCTATATATGACTTATAAAAAATGTAAACGCAGTAGAGTCAAGGTTTTACACTGTGCAACACTTTCTCCTATTTTGAACAATTCATCCGACACAATGAAAATACTGCATAATAATGAATACGTACAGTGACATGCCTAATATTAAAATTAGTTACTGTTTTGCAATATTCTTTTGAGTATTTGATGTAATTCACACCTGACAGGTGCAGATCTTGTCCTGTTAACATGATTACATTATACAATCACTGTCTTTAATTTTTTATTATTGTGCGGAAAGAGTTCCTTCCGTTCCCCCAACCCTAAACCTAACCCTAACTTGAATTTTGGACTTTTAGTCATTTTGTGAGTTCTCTAGTAATTGTTGTGTTAAGTTTTGTTAATAATTTTATATTTATACAATATTATTTAGGATGAGGGAACGGGAGGAAATCTTACCATTAAAACAAACTGTAAGTTATTCGGTTAGTGGCAATACACATAGACTGCCGCAACAAGCTGAATACATATCACAGAATAGGACTAGTTCAACGTCCATTCATTAAATGATTTGGACTATTGAAGAGATGTCGTGATGGGCGGTGTGTTTATTGGAAGCTCGAATAGGTTTTATTGCTTGAAGTTATACCTTTCATTGGAGGCAAATACAGCAACAAGTCGTAACAGTTGTAGCAACATTTTGAATGGGAACAGCTTGATTTACGCGCTCTTGGTGTTAAATTGGTTATCTCCCTGTTTCTCTCTCGAAATACATCAAAAACGAAACGAAACCATCCTATCGGTTGCAGAAAATTCAACAGGATGGCGAATTTGTTTGGATCTTATTATCATTTGTTGGTCAATGTCACTATAAAGCGAACTATAATGCAATTACATTTTATTATGACTCTACGTAATGTGTATATGAATCCTATTTCAAGAAGTATTTCCAAATGTTGTTCGCATTTCCGCTTCCGGGTAGCATGTCTGCGGAAAATTTGAGCTGATATCTTTTGACCTTTTGGAAAGTCACGGTGTATGTATGTTACTTGATGCGTTTATTGTAATTTTGCCAATTATCACTTTAAGCGTATGAGTTGCCGAAAGGCTTCCAGACCTCAAGTATCACGTGGCACGAAGATTTAACGAAGAATCATCTTCATCTGTCCGATGACAAACTTTCTGTGTAATGATATTCTGAACAATTTAAGGAGCTTAACCGGCGTGTGCGTGCGTGCGTGCGTGCGTGTAATCGATTCCGAACTGTCATCTTAATTTGAATGTGTGAAACGGGTTGTAGTCTAAAGGACCACTCTGAAATGTTTTAAATAAACAACACTTAAGATACTCTGAGATGTTCAGTTTGGCCCCTAAGCAGACCCAAACAGTCAACATGAGATTTGCAGGCTGTTATTTTATCTCTTGTACATATGCCATGGTGCATCAATAAGTCATCCAAAAGCATTAAATGTTTGTTAAACCATATTGACAGGTATATATCGCCAGTATATGATAGCATATATGATTTTTGTGATTCTTTTTGAAGGAGTTGGTGACCTGATGGCATCCAATTATGCAAAGCGAATGGGTCACCTGGCTGCTCGCATCTTTGGTGAAGTAGCTCGTCCAACCAGTCTGCGTTCCATGAAGGTGGTGAGGCTGATGAGGGAACTCCCTCCCAATCTGAATCCAGAAGTGGTCAACTACTACCCTCGGTACAAGGACACCAACGGTCTCATGATCAAACTCAGGAAACATGGCTTGTTTAGGTAAAGTGTTCCTTATACGCTGTAACTAGTCAGTCATACAGACACGGAAACAAATATGCAATCAATACAGCCCATTTGTGTCTTGGAGTATGTGGCAAGCCTAGATTACCTCAGTTTCAGGCTGAAAATGAAAAAATAATTGGGCCTCTTTTTATTATATTTTCTGAATGTAAGTTAGAACCCATGTTTTACTGTAAAATGTGTTCATTTCAGAGACTAATTGCTAGCAAATGCTGTAACCAATGATTTCAGTCCTTTGAGTGAGTGAGTTTAGTTTTACGCCGCTTTTTAGCAATATTCCAGAGATATCACGGCGGGGATTCAGTTCTTTGATGAAAATTGAGTACAGGTCGTCTTAAGATGGTCATACAGCATTTCCTTGAAGATTGGGTCTTCATCAACCCATGATTGACTTAAAGAGTAAAGACTTAAAGAGTGTTGCAAGAGGTGACTAAATGGAATCAGGAAGTCACACTCGATTGATAGTTGATATTGTATCCCCTTTGCATAAACTGATGCTTTGACTCAAGTTATGTTAATCACTTGACTGTCTTGACCAGACTCAATTACTTTCAGACTGCTGTAACATAGCTAGAATAATGCTGAGAGCCTATCTTTACTCATAAAGCAGATGTCACAAATATTGTGTAACAAAACCTTGTCAAAGTGTCCAAATCTTGTCCTTTTTCCAGGGATGAACATTTAGACTTTCAAGAGGAGATATGACAAGGTTAAAAGGCACTGAGGGGGAAAGTGAAGCCCAAGAAGGGAGAAGGAAAGAGAGCGAAAGAGAGCGATGAAGAGGAAGTGATGTGTCCCAAAGACTTGTGTGTGGAATGTGTTCCAGAGTGTGATTGGAGACATAAAGAAACCAAAATCCCCAGTCCAATATTTGTACAAATGTGGACCAAGGTATTATCATGGTTTTCAGAGTGAATTGTTCTCACGTATGCTGTTGTACCATTCTCAGTCCGTACTCACTTGTAACTTGTATACATTGACTTTGTATACTGTTAAAAGGAACACTGGTTACATACACTTATCAGGCTCACTAGACTAGCTTGAAAGTTGCCATTGTGTCATGTATGTGTCATGTATGTGTCATGTATGTGTCATGAGTACGTGGGCCTGTGGCCATTGTGCTGAAATAAAACTTCACTAACATGTCTTGTGAGTGGAAACTCCAGGATTGCATTTATCATGCTATCTTTGTAATGTCTCTCAGTTTCTTGAATCCAAGAAAAAGTTCTCTATATTATTCCAATCATGGGCCACCTGCTTTCATCTTTTAGAATCAGTGATATGAAAAGGATCCCCATGCTAACATAATTAGTTTTGACCATAGATAATGTAGAGGAGTTGGTGAGGACGTGTAAAATATATGTTCATGAATGGTTATTATTTGGATACTGTCTTGGTGAAGATGTTGAATGTGCTATTTTTCACAGATTGATCTTGTACCGTTAGTTGCAAGTGTCTTCTCTGTAGGTTGTTACGAAAGAATAAATGTTTATCTTACAACTTGTTTGTTGGATTTAGTCAACAGTGAAAAATTCCAACTTAATTTTAGAATGAGGCAGTTAAGTTCAGATGTTGAATGTTTACTGGCTCTGTGTCATGTTAATACAGTACTTCAGCTACTGTAGTTCATGCCATGTCAGCTTAATGTAGGAGGAACTCCCTAACTGATGCCGTTCTCAGATGTTCAAAGATTTGGTCAGACCCACACATAGTTCTGTCTCCTATTCTTGCGGTAAACATGTTTTATACCGAAATCGCCGATGTGCGACACCTACTGGTTGTTTACTTTGCCGAACGGTAACTAGGAAGTGGCCCAAGTCTGCTAGTGATCAAAACTCCGTGACGTGACTGCCTCATGTCGTCAATGGCGCGTGGAACTGTTTATCACCGGGCTCAAAAGTGATGGATCTGGCAGCTGATGGCTGTAGATGTTAGAGGAGAAGGCCCTTCATCTAAGAACAATGAGCTTTCATACGGTAAGAATTGTTTGTGTTATTTTTTCAGCCGATATCTGTAAGTACCGCGAGAATAGGAAACGCCTTCCTATATTCCTATATGGGTGTGGTGCTCACAAGTCATAAATCAATTTAAAGTTTATGTGGGATTTGGTGGCAGTGGTGGTTGCATTCTTTAAGAATGTTTATTAAAAAAGGAATAATTCTTCTAGGTATTCATTTAATAATTACACTTTCACATTCCAAAAGCACAATATGAACATTACATACATTATTTACAAAATATGCAAAGTACTGCAGAATATAAAAACATGGGTCATATGAAAACATCTATTGTCTACCAACTTTTACACACATAGAGGTGTCATGTACACCCTAGCATGGGTAGACATCTATTCATAAAGCATGACATGACACTGTGGAAGATGCAAGAAACTGGCTCCACACACTGTACCCATGTGGGTCACCAAAGTGGATGTTTAACCACAAGGCTACCCCAACAGCCCCAAAACAGCTCGATTTCTAAACAGTGATATTCATCATGCCTGTATAACTTCAGTACGTATAATACTTTTAACCATTTGAATGATATATTAAAAGACAATTTAAACAAACTTCAAATGATTGGACATTAACATGATTTAGGCTTGAACAAACATTGTACATTTCATGTTATTACAGAAAAATGAAACTTCCAATTTCTTAAGTAAAATCGACACATGAACTATCATGTTATTTTACAAATCACAGACAAGCTTCGCAACTTAAACAAGCTGCTATGACACAGGAACTGAATTGTTGATGGGTGGCAACACTTTATGTCGATCTGACCCTGGCCTGTTGCGTGAGGCAGGTCGAGGTGCAGAGGGTGGTCGAGGAGCAGGGAGCTCTCCGTTGGAGGCTGATTTGTATCCCTGTTCAGAAATCAGTTCGAGTGGGTTCACAGTTTCTGTAGGCAGAAAGCCTTTATCAGCGTTGTTCTGACTGGGTGGGGTGCTGCCTCTCTGTAGCTCTGTGGCAGAGTCTAAGTCGGAGAGCCCAGAACCCGATCCTTCATCTTCAGTGCTTGAGTCAGGTGATGCGGGTGGAAGAGCGCCGCTGTTCTCCACACTGATGGTGTTGACGGGGGCGGAGAAGGACGAAGGTCCATCTCATCACCCAGACCTACTTGGCCATCTACAGCTTGAGGGGCTGTCTTGGGATATCTGTACAACAGGGAATAGAGATATTAGAAATATTCCAACAATTCCATGGTGGGGGACATCAGAATGGAATTTCATCAGAATTTCACACATGATTCCCAAGTGAGGAATAAAAACCCCGATCTTCGCCGTTACAAGTGACTGCTTTAATCCTTAGGCTACCAGGATTGAGTTTTACGCCGCTTATAGCAATATTTAAGTGATTTCATGGCGGGGGACACCAGAAATGGGCTTCACACATTGTACCCATGTGGGGAATCGAACCTGGGTCTTTGGTGACGAGCGAACACTTTAACCACTTTAACACCGCCCCTGGAGTGAATAAGAACCTGAACTGAATAACAATTCTTAATTATATACTGATTTTCCACTTTTTTATAAATCAAGCACAAATTACCTTCTGACTTCCCGTCTAGAATTTTTATAACACAATAAATGTATACCCCCATCAGAATCCTGACAATATGTTTGAATATCAGTTGGGTACCTACCCAGTGAGCAGCTGTTCATACAGGGGAGGCACATAGCCTGCCACTACCTCCTTAGCTGCACTGTGTCTCCTCCGTAGGGACTCCTCCTCCTGAAATACACAGGTGAGTGAGTGAGGGGGTGCTGTGAGGAACATTTAGATATATAGGACATTCCTCAGTACACATGGGATGTTACCCTAAAGTTTGACAAGATGGACAATTCTGTCAGGAAGGATATTATCTGAATAAACGAGATCACTGTAAATGGTATGGAACAGTTGACCTGATTCAGGAAAACACAAAATTTGTTTGCTTGTTGTTTTACCCCGCACTAAGCAATATTCCAGCTATATGGCAGCGGTCTGTGAATAATCAAGTTTGGACCAGACAATCAAGTGACCAACAGCTTAAAGTGATGCAGGTTGTTGATGTTTATCACATGCACAGGACTGAAGGAAGATTAGCAGATTCTGGGATGTTCAAGGGATACAACTCTGTACCCAGAATCGTGGCACCTTCGACCACTGGACCCGCCATATCTCCAATACAATTTATCGGGACACAGGAATTGCATGAATGTTTTCAGAACATCATTACAAACACTCCCAAACTTCCAAGCCACACTAAAAATGGGCTTCACACATTGTACCCATGTGGGTAATCGAACCCTGGACTTCGACGTGACGAGCGAACGCTTTAACCACTAGGCTACCCAGCCACCCCAGTAGTTTCTAGACAAACAGGGTTCAGGTTAACTGCATCAAATACTGCCTTCAAATGGATCAAGCCTAGTTCCAATGCATATCAAACACATGCAAATACTCCCGTTCCGAGGTTTCATTCAGACAAACAACATCATTACTCCAAATTTGTTCATCATACATTATAATCAAATTCCCTGTTTGCCTCTCTTCCAAAAAACTCATGGTGTTTAATTACTGCAGACATATATCTGTTTCCAACTCACCACAATCCCCCTTCCAGTTGTAGCAGGGGAGGTAACTTTGCCTCTGGTCTGTGACATGCTGTCTGGAAGGCTTGGTTTAGACCAGGTGCGTGCCCCCATCATGGTGGCAGAGGCACCACCAGGGAGGGGGTACACATCGGTCTCCCCATGCGCCTCCTCATAGTTAGTGGTGGGGTCGGTCATCGTGGTGGGCGACATGGAGCTGATGCCCAGGTAGTCCATCACCAGGTGACGCAGGCGACGGTAGCCTTCTTGGATGTCATCTATGGGCATGATAATTTAGGTATAGTTAGTAGTGGTGGTCCGATTAATTGAAATATTTGAAGATTGGTCGCAGTGACTAAACGACCAAGCAATCGATCATGTTTTCTCATAATCGAACACAAACAATTCTAGAACACTTGTTTTCATTAACAGTATTTTTTACTAAGTTGGTTTTGTCTGTTAAATTTCATAAGCACTACAAGCTTGTTCCAAGTCATGATTGAATTTATCTTAAGACTTAAAGAAATTTATGTTCCTCCATACTAGTCATCCTTTAAAGATGTGAAAATTTGCCAAAAAAACCCCAAGAACTGCATATTTTTTTCTTTATTTTTTGTGTGCATTAACACATTTCATAAATGACGCTAACCAATTATTTTCGATGATTGATCGGTTGTAATGTACCAATCATCAATTATGAGATTTTAACCAATTCCCAACACTAATAGTTAGGCAACAATTCAAGGGAGGTAATGCAACTATGAGGTATTAAACTTGTTGGGATCATGATTGGTTTGATTGGCATAAGTAAGTGAGTGCGTTTTGTTTTTGCACCATTTCAGCATTATTCAAGTACTACCATTGTTTGGGACACCAGAAATGGGCTTCATACAATGTACTGGTACTCATGTGGTCAATTGAGCCCGACCTTTTGGCACGATGTCTGGAACCTTTAACTATCTCACTGCTCTTATCTGGCATACAATAACTAGACAGCAATTGGATGTTAGAAATTCGAGCTATCAGCCTTAAGCATCATGCCAGCCCAATACGAAATCTCAACACTGGATTAAAGAAGATCGAATAAATGAGTTTTGTTAATTTTTACTTGAACCATTCAATCTAAATAATAAACGGATGTTCAGAGATTAGTATCAGCGACCAGGGAAGACAAAAATCCAAAAACCGTTTTGAAAGTCCTGCTGAACCCTAAATAGTATCCGTTGTCTGATTGGTTAAATCTGTTTGGATATCTCGCATTTGATTGGATGGTCATAGGTCACTGAAAGGTTAGCTGACGCGACCTTCTACTAGGATTTGTTAGACTCAGTATATCAGTGTAACAGTGTTTAAACTCCCAAAATTCCAAGCCAGACAGCTGGACTGGTAACTTTAAAAAATTACCAGTCCGGATACAAACTTGCCTGTCCGGTTTTCAACAATGAAAAATATACAAAGAAATCAGGTTTATGAATACTTTACTGTTTGTAGGCATCGCAATAAACAACATAGCACTAACAGGCAATGCATTGAGTTTAGGTAAACTGAAAGTACATGTGTTGTGATTGGTTATTGTAAAAAGAAATGTCCAATCGTAAATAGTTTAAAATGACAAGAGAACCTGATATTATGAAATATTTACTGTTAGGGGTAAAAACATCTAGCAGACCACGGACAGGCTACTTTTGAAATTCAACAACCGTCCAAGATGAAATAGAGACCATTCTGGACGGTCGGGCAGGCGGGAATTTTAAACGCTGAGTGTAACGAATAATACTGAGCCTAAGTTTACTTAGACTGACCTGTGTGAGACCAATGTTCACTTACCACTGTTGATCTTCATGTCGAAGAAGCCTGGGTGGTCCTGGTTGTAGTCCTTGTACATTTCAGCTCTCTTCAAAGTGTCTATGATCTGCTGCTCAGAGTACACTCCTCTCTCACGGAGTCGGCGCTCGTGAGCCTCATGATCCAAGGGAAGTATCAGCACATACCTTGGCTCAAAGTACGTGTTTTTCAGTGACAGTACCCCCTGAAACCAACATTTGCAAGATAATTCTTGACTTCCATTTAGGGTGAAATGGTACGATTTTACCATGGTACTGTACTGTATATTGCGGTACAAGGCCTTCGGTACGTTTTGTTTCAAATTGGTATATGAGATATGATCATCAGAAAATTGACAACAAGAGCCAAACCTTACATTGTTTAATAACATGGAAAAAGAATCATAATCTTTGTTATTTTGAATGAACAAAATAGTCATTTTATGATTAGATAGAAATAATGGCCTGAAAACCAAAAATACCGATTTTTGGGATTGCATTACAGTATACCGAACCGAAGGCAAAATACTGTGGTTCTACTAATACCATGGTATATTCTTTCACCCCTAACTTCCATAACAGAGAGATTATCTCTAAATGTTAGGAAATGTTTACGCTTTAACTGTTAGAGTAAGTGAGTTTAGTTTTACACCGCACTCAGCAATATTCCAGCTATATGGCGGCAGTCTGTAAATAATTGAGTCTGGATCAGACAATCCAGTGATCAACAAAAATCCTCCTTTGTTAAAATATATATGTCTTTTCTAAAATTCCAGTTACAGTCAGGAAACTAGCAGTAGGTGATCCATAATCCACGATCTAAAGGAATTTTTCAGATAACCCAATGTTTATTCACTGGTTAGTACAGAACTCATTACATGGCGTAAGAGACTTTAAAAAGTTAAACACAGTGTGACAGTTAATAACAGTGTGAATCGCTCATGGTTTCTCACACACAAAGCAACTGAGGGAGCTTACACCAAGTTGTAAACCTAGTTGGACTGTTGTATATTGGTTTGAGTGTCGTTACAATTACAGAGTTTTTATATCTGATGTTCTATGTTCTATTGTGTACTAATGTTGTATTGACCACCACATGACTTACCTCCAGCTCCATATGGACCACACAAGCCAGACCCTCTCTGGCCACGGCCTCTACAGACTCCATCTGAAGACCGTACCAGTCACCGTGGTATTCGCTGGACTGGATTAACTGACCCTAGATCAAACAAAGTGGTTAATCTCATTAATCTATGTTCAAAGTCACTTTGAACAGCAGGGGTGGAAATAACTTTAAAATTGCTAGTGTACTCCGGTACAGTGGCACATGTAAATCACTTGCCCTGATAGTTTTTTCACTATACCGGCCGTTTTCTTGTTGATTTTTAAATAAACAACATAATTAATATTGGAAAGTCAACTGGACACCGGTACAGTGTGATATACAAATTTGCTTGCCCGACAGAAAAAACCACTGGACTCGGGCGTCGAGCAATGGGTTATTTCCACCCCTGAACAGTATTTCTGTTATATCCAATAATGTTTATTTGATGTTGGTCCAAGTAATCAAGGTCTTTGACATTTACCAAACAGCGTGTGCTTCACTGGTGATGGGACAGATACAGGATTTTCAAAAAACGAGGGGTGGATGCATTTAATGCCGTAATCAAAAAAGGAATTTGGGCACTGATGGCACATTTAACATGTAAGGTGTTGAAAACATAATTTTAATTGCTTGTTCAATGCAGCACTCAGCAATATTCCAGCTGGCAAAATACTGTGGTTCTACTAATACCATGGTATATCTTTTTAATTGCTTTTCACCTAAGCTTCCATAACCATGGTATATTATCTCTAAATGTTAGGAAATGTTTACGCTTTAACTGTTAGAGTGAGTGAGTGAGTTTAGTTTTACACCGCACTCAGCAATATTCCAGCTATATGATGGTGGTCTGTAAATAATCATGCCTGGAACTTTCATCTTAAATGTCTTCTGTTACGCCTGCAGTGTATGAATCTATTTGCATCTCTTAGGATGTCTATGTTTAGCCTCCATGATTTATCATATGCCATCTGTCTGCATCACATGAAGATCAATATATGAACACTGTTGTTTGTCTTATACCCACACTTTTTATTACTTGGTTTACCCTTTGGGATAATAGTCTTCAAAATTTGGTTTATGCAAAATTACTTCCATTTATAACATGCTTTGATATGAATAGACAAAGTTATCATGTCTTTTCTTTTAAGGCCACACTTTTATTATTGTACTTGGTTTATGGATCCATGAACCTGAAGCTGTAATGTTTCGCTTTGAATAAAATCATCATTACTTCATATCTTCGAATTTAGTACATTTCCGCAATCCCCTGTAAATACACACAGATGATATGGGGTGTATTTGTGACGGCTGTATATCTTTAGTGAATGGATGAACCAAATAATAAAATAGACAAAAAGTAAACAAACTTTTAGAACAATGTTACCATATCTTGGAATACAATCAAACTTTGTGATGTACAAACTGCCTTACCATTTTGATATCAATCTCAATGTTACCCAATTAAACTTTGTACAAACTGCCTTACCATTTTGATATCAATCTCGAATTTTTCAATGGAAACAAAGTTGTAGTCTTTCTCATTGACTTCATCAGAGTAGGGCTTCCTGGTTGTGTCCGGCACACTGTTGACAGAGGGGCGTGATGTGACTTGGTCATGAATCATAATAACTTAGTACAGAGATTAAGGTGATCAGTTAAAACAGTTGCAAATACTAATGTTGAAATATCAAAATATTGATGGTTAATTTAATAGAATACTGAAATAAGTATCAACTGATTTAAGGATGAAATGATAAGTAAAGTACAATAAAACCATAACTAGTTGTTAGTTGTTAACACCATACTCAGAAATATTCAAACTATGTGATGGTTGTATGAGTGAGTGACCAACACCATAGTGTCATTTCTATCTCTATTTCTTATGCTCATGTCAGGATACAATCAGATATTTGAATCAGGATCAAAATGAAGATCAGTAATGTCGAATGGCTCAAGAATGTTTATCAAAACAGAAGAAAGATATAACAAGAAGACATGGTCATCAATATCCCCTGCCACAGTGTTCTGTTCCTATTTGGTTCTTGTTTTTTAACTCCACCACAACATTCATGTCCTTAAAACACATACCACATTTGGTTTCCCTGTCTATAACGGTTACTCAGAGAAAATCTGTTCCCACAGGGATACCGTGCACTAAGTCAAGAAACACATGACAAGGGCCATAACTCTGTAACAAATTGTAACACGGTTTCTGTTTTCGAACTCGATCAAGGCATCCATGTCCTGAAAACACATACCAAATTTGGTTTCCCTATCTATAACAGTTTTCGAGAAAATCTGTCCCTATCATCTCGGATGGATGGAGGGAGCTCAAACCTACATCCCTCTCCCAGTTCGTGGCGAGGGACAATAAACTGGATGATCAAGTAAAAGATTAGAATAATGACAGCAAAATACTTGGCTCTTTGATCAATAACACTGCATATGTCCATAGTTCATACTTACCCATAGCCAAAGTAATCTGAAAATTCCTCTGCTAGTTTGAGAGCAAGGTCTTTCTTGCCCGAGCCTTGAGGACCCACCAGGACAAGCATGGGGTACACTGTCTCAATGTTTGGTAACGTACTGCAAATAGAAAATTTAAAGATGAACAACACTTTCTATATTTTTAAGTTCACAGATTTGAACCAGAGCAAGACGTCAGAGTCAAATAATAGACAAAGTTACATATCATAATAGTTTTTTCAACCTCTCAATCTTTGTTGGATGGGTCTCAGCAAAATAAAAGACCACCATCTTCTTTGACAGGAATAGTTACATGTATGTGTTAAAAGGTTGAATATCAAATATCCTGTTCTTTAAACAGAATTATAATATTTTTTCTCTTGAAACTGTTGAACTTCAAACCACATAAAATTACTTAACTACATAAGTTCTTTTCTAATTTTCTTTCAAACTACCAAACATATTTGGTTTTCAGAGTCTTTAAACCATAAAAGCAAAAATATTATAATCTCAACTACAGATTCAATCTCATTCATAAAAATGGTAAAATGTAAAATGTTTTGATAGTATGTCACATTTTCATTTCCCATAAACATCATTCTGAGATGTGTGAAGACCGATGCCACGTGCCATGTGACATTATACCAACCTGTCCCACACTCTACTTGGCTGCAGGAAGTTGTAAACCACATGCATCATGTGATCTCCGGCGGCCACAACCTCTGGCGGAGGGTCAAACATGTTCTTGGCAGCAACCTGGGAAAACAGGCATACACTTACAGTCTGTTTGATTTCAATTGAGACCGATGAATTGCTCACTAACAACACCCAAATAAAAAAGTTGTTTAACAAACGATCATTATTTTGTTGTCACTTTTCCCTATTTTTATAAGTAGTACTATGCCATTCGTAAGCCTCTGATAAACTACAGAGTTACGATATGTTGTAACATTACGAAAGCTTTGTGGATCGGGACCCAGTACTAGACAATTTAGTGACTGACATCATGAACATTGAGATACGATGACATGTGGTGGGTCAACCAAGTCAGGTATCCTGAACAAGCCATTTGTTTGTCAGCTCCTAACACAAGCATGTCTTGCTGAGGACAAATTCTAATTGATATATTCAAGGGTTGTTTCACTGAATGTGGACAAGACAAGCCAGTGATTGATACAGTTGCAATTAGGAACCGTTCATAATTTATGGTTAGGGGAGGTGATGATGATTTTTATGTACAAAGTAAGTGCCTCCTTCCCCACTCCCCGATTATGTCATGTACTAAATCAATGACACCGCCCTAGTACTAAACAAAACCCCTCTAAAATCATCATCACCCTCACTAGCCATAAATTATGAACGGTCCAAGTTAGGGCTCAGACCTGGGAATCCAGATTTCAATTACCCAACTCTACCCTGGTATTCAGTGTAGTTTTCAGGAACTTGGGAACAAATTGGGAATTTTTTTAACAATGCCCAGGCAACTGGTATTTAGATACACATATAAAATGACATGGTCATGCATTCTCTGAACTTTACTGAACCAAAATGTCAGATGGAAAGCAAACACAGTTAGAAAAAAATGTGAACGCAAACAAAATGGATAGTCCTTTGGATACCCAGATCCTTCTTATGACCAACCTGACCCAAGCACTCATGCTACCAACCCCAAGCAACATGTCACAATCCATACCATCACCAAGCCTGACCAACCAATACACGAAGATGCCTCTTTCCCAGGACAAAGTGCTGAGAATCTAGTCTAACCTGGATTCCCTTTAGTTTTCTGACAGGGATTGTACATGAGTAGGTGACTGTACCTTCTCCTCCACTTCAACTCTCATCCTGTCCAGGTCGGTCAGACTCTGTAGCCTGAAGAGGATGGAGAGTCGGTAGTCAGGCAGCTCCTGGACCGGGTTCTGCAGCAGGTTCAGCTGCCGCAACATCCCCAACTTCATCAGATACTTCATCTCACTGATGTCGATCACCTGTCATGTTACACATAAATGTACTGCCAGTACAACATATGAGTGAGTGAGTGAGTGAGTTTAGTTTAACGCCGCACTCAGCAATATTCCAGCCATATGGTGGCGGTCTTTAAATAATCGTGTCTGGACCAGACAATCCAGTGATCATCAGCATAAGCTTTATCTATGCAGTTGGGATACGATGACATGTGTCAACCAAGTCAGCGAGCCTGACCACCCGATCCCTTTAATCGTCTCTTACGACAAGCATGGGTTACTGAGGATCAATTCTAACACGGATCTTCACGGGTCCCAGAAATATGAACATAGCATTGCATCTGTACAGATGAGAAAACTAATATGACTGTTTTATTTTCTTACATCAGCATTATTCAGAATACACTAGCATCATTGTAATAATGCACTTCTATCACAAAGCATGATATTTTGTAGACAGGAAGTATAAGTTTCAAGTGAAAAATGAACCATATATATTGGACAAAGTGACCAAAAAATCAAAAGACCAAACCAACCTCATTGTTTTCCAGGTCGATGTACTCCAACAGGTCATGACCCTCCAGACCAGACAGACTGCGGATCTTGTTCCCAGACAGGTTCAGGTGCTACAACATGCAATGACACAATCCCTCAATGACATGAAGTGTGACCTGATAAGGTCAGGCCTGGATACCTATATGATGTATGCGGGTATACTATTCTGCAGCTGTCACACACCTAAGCAACGTGGCATCTCTCAACAAATAATTGAGAGTAATCTCCCTTGGTTTCTTGTCAAGTTTTGACCATGAGGACAGACCAATTTTATTTTTTGTTTTACAGATCCTCCGTTTTTAGCAGATTGTTTTTTGCCTCATATACACTTCATAAATTGCCAAAGTAAAACACTTTTAGTATTTAAAAGGAATATTACTTTGACTGGTGATTTTTTCCCCCTCCTGCCTTTAGGTTTTCTGAGGACAAAAATCTGTTAAACAAGAAATAAAATTGGTCTGGTCTCATGCTATCCAAAAAGCATGCTATCAGTGCCACCATGTTATTGGAAACTTGGTCTGATATGATGTATAATATGAAAAGTGAAACATAATAACTAACCCATGTACAGCACACAGAAACTTAGGTTAAAAGTTGGTACCACGTACCACTGGGACTTCAGAACTGACCCTCACGTCTTGTCAGGCAAATGACTTTGTTCAAAAGATTTCTCTATTCACAAATGCAGTGAATGGGTACTCAGTGCGATGAGTGACTGTAAGCTTCTAATGCCTCATATGACAGCATGGGTTGCATTATTTAACTTCCCAGGGAGATAATGATGAATTTTGACTGAACATTGATCCAGCGATCAGAGTAATACATGTAATACACAATCTGAGCAATACTTCAAAAGATGGATTGGCAAAGTATACATACTGATTAACATTAAACATGTACCTCATACTACTCATAGATCTTCATATAAAGTTTTGAACTCAATCACAGACATCTGTATGTAGATATACCAAAGATAACATTCTTCATATAAATTCACATATTTTGAGGGGTGGTGGGGTGGCCTAGTGGTTAAAGTGTTTGTTCATCATTCAGGAGACTTGGGTTTGATTCCCCACATGGGTACAATGTGTGAAGCCCATTTCTGGTGTTCCCCACCATGATATTGCTGGAATATTGCTAAAAGCGGCGTAAAACCAAACGCCCATATTTTCCTGAACACGCAATTTCTAAACTTATAAGCTTTCTTGCTGCAAAATGTCCAAATCCTTTACATATGTTTGATAAGTTTGATGGAAAATGCAATCAAAGCATAGTAAAGTATACATATACATACTTTAGTGGTAAAGTAATGAGATCAAAGGAGCTGCCAGAGGGCAAGTTAACAATAAGTCTATCAATATGTCATGCTGTTGAACACTGGATTGTCTGGTCCAGACTTGATTATTTACTGACCACCGCCGTACAGCTGTAATATTGCTGAAAGCAGCATTAAACAACAAACAAACAAAATACAACAACAATGGATCTTATCTGTTGTATGATTGAAACTATTGCAATACACACACTTACCCTTATGTATTTGAGGGATTCTATATTTTCAATCCTTGTTAAGGAGTTGTGACACTGTAATGAAAAGAAATATATGCATAGAATGTTGACAGCTCTTTTCATAATATCATTTCCATCAATATTATATCACATCAGACATTTTCATAAAAACAGGTATATCTTCACGTAATGTGAAGCATTAATGTCATCACATATAAACAAGGTCTTACCATATTTAGATGTTGAATAGGCAAGCCCTCTAGACCCTGTAGGTTTTCTATCTTGTTGTGGGCCATACTTAGAAATGACAGTCTTTTACAGCTGCTCAGTCCCTTCAGTTCATGAATCTTGTTATCTGGAACAAAGGGTTATCTCCCTTGATGTGTTAAACATATTATGTTTGTTTCTTGTGTGTTGTTCACACAATTTCCAACTTTATGACAGCAGTCTGTAAGTAATTGTGTATATAATTGGGATATGATGATATGCATACACCAGTGAAGCAAGCCAACCACCCAACATTGTTAGTCACTGCTTGCAACATGGGTTACTGATTAGACCGGAATTTCTAGCTTTACAAGCAAGAGGATATGTAAACAATAGTGTTTAAGCAGCATTAAACAGCTGAAATGGATTGCTTTGATACAAAAATGATCCTGTGTAGGGTCTTGTCTTTTAAGCAGGATTAAATTTTTATAAAGATATTGAGTTTTTCAAATATATCAGAAATTCTGTCATTGATACTCAATTCAATACATTTAAGTTTATTTGTTATTTAACGTCGTAATGAGTATTTAATCAAATATGGTGGTGGTCTGTAAATAATCAAGTCTAGACCAGACAATCTAGTGATCAACATTATGAGCATCAATCTAAGCATCTGGATATGAAGACACCTGTCAGCTAGCTTGACTACCCAATACCGTAAAGTGCCTCTTAAGACAAACATGGTTTGCTTACGAATTTTCAGCCGGATCTTTATGGGTACAATAAATTGAAGATTGTACACCCCTCCACCACAGCTTTTGGCATCTAAAATTGTATCTGTTAATATAAATTGTTCGCAGTTTATTCTAGTTCTGAGGCTATTATTTCCACCTTTTGGAACTATTCCTGAAGCTTCACTGACGGCAAAATATACATATTGTGGAGACTAACTCCCAGAGAAGATGAGAATAAAATGACTACAAGAAAGTCAATGAGCCAATCTTACTGTCAAGGTTGAGTTTCTTCAGGCATTGATGTGCAGAGAGGTCACTCATCTCCTCGATCTGGTTGAAGGAGAGATCCACTATCATCAGGCTCTTGGGAGGGGTGAAGTCCAGGACCCTGGGGAGCTGGTTGTGTGAGGCGTCCAGTATCAGCAGGTGCTGTAGGTTACTCAGTGGGGACAGGTCTAGACACACCAACATACTTATGTGAGACTTGCAGTCTATCTATTCGTAGATCTAGGTGAGGGAGTGGCTATAATGACCCTAAGTCTATTTGTGATCCGTAGTAGGTGAAATTGATGGGGAAAATGACACTTAAATAAATGGTAAAAAAAAGAAGCCGTGTAAATTCTGGTTCAATGATGCTGCAGTATTTGAAATAAGGAAGGATCCTGGAGTCTTGAAGATTTGTTGCTATAGTATTTGAATCCAGGGACCCTCTAAATGTTTACCTTAACATTTGGGTTCGACTTCTTGAGTTTCTTCATCCGATTCGAACAATTATTGCACTTCCACATGCAAATTAATTATCAGGTAAAATATTATGGATTCAATATTTTCAGAAATCCTGGATCCACATTTGCGACAACTTTGGAAATGTCATTTGGAAAACATTATATAGCAAACGAGATTTAATATGACCTTGATGATTGTGTTGTTATTGAAAGATTTTGTACATCCAAGCAAAACTGAGGTAGTTTTATGTAATTTTGAAATGATTGACTTTCTGACTTCACCAAATAACATGAAAACAATACTAGTTGTTATATGCCAGTAATGGTATAGTAATATATATATAAACATTTACTGTAGAGCCTGTGAAATCATGTCAACATAAGTGCAACATAGTTGCCTTTATCAATGCGTTATAGAGAATGGAAAAATACATATTTTGTTTGTGTTTTTCTTACCTGTAATTTCATTGTATGGAATCTCCACCTTTTGTAAATGGACATATTCTGCCAAGAGACTGATGTCCCTCAAGTTGAAGCCCTGTAATACAGATGTATCTTTCATAAGTACCCTTTGTAGTTTGTTTTTCATTGTTTGATGAAATACTCGACAGCAATCAAGCTATATATATGAAAGCGTTTTTTAACAGAACATGTCTGGACCAGACAATTCAGTGATTGGGATCAGAAGCTTTAAGCTGTGCACTTGGAATACAATGATTTGTAGCCAGATCACTGTCATGTGGGCTGATCAGTGTATCATCCGATCCGTTTAGCTGGCTCATGTTACTACAGACCTTTATTTTTCCTTCAATCTGGACAAGTGGGTCTTTGTGGTTATTATCAGAGTTATGATCTACAATTAATTGCTGTGAGAAAGAAAACTCAACCAGTCCTGAGATGCAAATGTTGAAATGATTCATCCTAAATAAACACTGCTTTTATATGTTTTTAAATGCTTTAGTAACCTCATATGGAACCAGTCCTTTTCTATTGCTGGATATTGATATAGATAATAGAGATAAACAATTGTTCACTAAATATTGATCAGAGATTGATAAATATTAGAGATGTAACTAAAAAAAGATGAAAAAATCACCCCCAGAAAATCAACACATTTCACATCACTGGTGAGTTGTACACATGGATAAGTCACAAAAACAGGACTCTGAATGTGATTTATAAGATGTCCATGAATGAAGGCATAACTGTTTTGTGTGTATATATGGAAACTTTATTTCATGACAATAGTTTATGTAAGATGTTATCAATGAAATAATTACAATATCGATACTCATTGACAATTCTTCCGATTAATGATATTTCCGATTATAAATCTTTGCAGCCAGCTCTATCTATTTCTAAATACTATCTGTAACACTGAGGATTACACTGCAGTTGGTTAATTAAACAATAGAGTATTGACTTGTTGTTTAAACTGTATTTTCCATTCTATTAACCACACTTTCAGCCCCACAATGCTTTCCCTTTGAGCACAAAGATGGAAACATCATGGAATCTATGTGTAAGTATATTACTTGTGACATTTTACCATTTATTGATAAAGGTGCTATATTCAGTTATCATTATTTAATGAATTAGTGAGTACAGGTTCTGGGTACGATTGCACTTTTTTCCACTACCACTGTTGATTTATTTATGACCATGAATACAGACCTTTTTTCAATTTTTTTAGTTTGGTTATTAATAGATTCACTGATACAAGACGCATTTAAAACAGGAAATTAATACTATTAAACCTACTGCAATGCATTTGTGGTGAAAAATATTACCTTCTCTGGGTGCAGCCTGACAAAAAAAGTTACCTGCACTAGAAATAGTGTTACCTGCACTGGTCAAGACTGTGTATATCAAAATCAATCCCTGTGGTTTTATGCTGCTTTTAGCAACAGTCTATAAATATCAATGTCTGGACACTGGACTTTGTGACCATAAGAGGAATCAAACCTAGGCCTCCTGTGAATGCTTTAAATACCATGCTTCCTCAGTGTCCCCACAATTCATTGGACTGACAGAACGAGAACATCAACAGATTTGCAGTAAACCTTTCATGACAATTAAAACACTTACAGGCACTGTACAGTGTAAATACACTTGATACGCCCCTTCAGCAGATCGGCCCAGGTTGGACAAGCCACGCCCAACAGTCTCCTCGTCCAAAATACCATCAGGTGAAAGCTGAAAGAAGCAATGTACAATTAGCAATGCATATTAGCTTCCAATAAGAACACTGGTGTATATTTCCCCTGTTTCAATATTCTTTAAAGGAGAAAGATTTTCAGCTTGTGGTCGTATCTTTAACAAACTGGACAATTATTCCCAAACATATAAAATTATTATGAATTCTTACCTCGACATCGTCTTCGTTGTCAGTGCCCCCTGGTCCGAGTCCGACATCATCGTAAATTTCATCAACAAGCGGCTCGTCTAGTAAATCTGGGTTGTCGTCTAGCTTCAGAATATCTGTGTCCGTGTTAATAAGATGTGTTTCTCCATTGACAACAACATATTCACCATCAACAACGGGATAGTATTCCGCATCGGGGATGTTGTCGCCTAGGTCCGCCATCTTGAATGCGTGTCTATGGATACCAGCAAGCCCGCAGCAAATGCTATTTTATGTGCGCTTTAATCAACTGCATCGACTCAGTACATTTTTTCATTTGTTTTGCTTTTTTCTGCAATCAGCAATATTTATAAATATGACAAAAGTTTATAAATATTTAATTGTGGTCCAGAGATGCTGATAACTGACATAAAGACCATCGATGACATACAAGACAGCAAGCCTGACCACAGCAAAACGGCACCTACGACTACCACCATTTGTATCTTGAAAACGGTTCAGCATGGATCTTTGCGGGTAGTTTGTTATCAGAGAATGATCCAGCCGTTTCAAAATTTAAGAACAAGCATGATGTGAAACATAAATAAACGGCGCATTGAATAACTCAACTAAGTGATTTATTCTTCATTTCTACCGAATAATTCATCTTCACACATTTATATAATTTTCTGCGGCTGCTCATTTCGTTGCTACAGTTCAGCAATCATTTTTCAACAAAATGAACCGGTTGTTAAGAAAATTTATTCTTTACTGAATAATTTCATTTCACACATTTATAACACACCAATCATTTGAAACGAACCGGTTATTAAGAGTATCTTACTTCAACAAAAAGCCAAAGAGCTCTTTGGGATTAAAGGTGTCCTTTCCTCTCTTAATAAATCAAATATTTTTTAAAATCAAAAATATTTAAAGCCTATGTTCCGTCGTCATTAAATGGAATATGCCCCTAAGTCAAAAATTATATAATTATTTAAATACATGTTACATTATATTTAATGCAATAACGCCCCTAATTATGTTTCTAATTATATACATCGTCATGTTGATGGATATATACATTATCATTTTGCAAAATACACTGTCTGACATCGTTATTCGATTATGTTTCTACTTTCTTCAGTGTGACAGAAAGAGGGCGTCTTAATTCGAAATTTCAGAACATAATATTTAGAAGTGAAGTTTTCCTGAAATATAATTTCGAACGTTTGTTTGTACTTGGAATTATGGACGATTATCAACATTGTGTGGTGGGACGATGTGTATACGGTTTGGTGAAGAATAAATTCAAGAAAAAGGAAACGCTCAAAAAGGGCTGATCACTACAGCTTTTTAAGAAGGGTGGGAGTGTGCACCAGTTCATTTTCACCTGAGACCAAATGGATCCGCCAATGATTTAATAAACTTTCATGACAAAAAGGGGAGGGGGGAGCGCAGCCCTGCACCCCCTTTCGGATCCGCCTATGCTCAATGAACACTTGTTTGGGAAACGGGAAGACGGGAAAGAGAGAGTATGGTGGACGTGCACGCTACCAAAGAAAAGGGAGATAATCCAACCTTCGGGTTTCATCGGCAGACGTATCATTCGGAAACGCTTCCTCCAATCTTTCTCGACTCGTGAATATGTACGTACAAACCCGACAACGGCTTACGCCGAGATTTTCCGAATGACAACACGCATGCTCCAAAATGGCGTCGTTCCTGTTTCGTCAGGTACTTGCCGCGAAAAATGGGCCTGGCACTCAAAAACTATTCGTTAACATATCCAAAGAACTGCTTTATTGCAATCGGAGATCATTTTCCTTCTCTGTTGCGAGGTTTGCACAACCTCCAGGCCAGAAGAAAACATTTTCGAGAGAGAAACCTCACATAAATATTGGGACGATCGGCCATGTGGACCACGGTAAAACAACCTTGACAGCGGCGATCACAAAAGTCCTGTCCGAGGAAGCCAAAGCTGACATGAAACGATATGAAGACATCGATAATGCCCCTGAAGAAAAAGCCAGAGGAATTACAATCAATGCAGCGTTGGTGGAATACGAAACCAACACTCGTCATTATGGTCATGTCGACTGTCCGGGACACGCTGATTACATAAAGAACATGATCACAGGAACAGCTCAAATGGACGGTGCCATCTTAGTTGTCGCAGCAACTGACGGAACCATGCCACAAACTAGAGAACACATGCTGCTTGCTAAACAGATTGGTATACAGAGGGTTGTTGTCTTCATCAACAAGGCCGATGCCGCTGACGAAGAAATGTTGGAACTTGTTGAAATGGAGGTACGAGAACTACTGACAGAGATGGGATATGATGGTGACGGTACTCCTGTTGTCATTGGGTCTGCTCTGTGCGCTTTAGATGGCGTTAAGCCTGAAATTGGAGCTGAGAAGATTAGGAAGCTACTTGAAAATGTTGACAGTTACATCCCTAACCCTTCTAGGGAGCTTGAAAAACCCTTCTTTTTGCCCATTGACTCTGTGTTTTCTATTGCTGGTAGAGGAACAGTAGTTTCGGGAAAGCTTGAAAGGGGTATTATCAAAAAGGGTGATGAATGTGAGTTGATTGGCTATGATAAAGTCTTGAAAACAACAGTCACTGGCATTGAGATGTTTCACAAGAACTTGGATCGTTCCGAAGCCGGAGATCAGGTTGGGGCTTTGATAAGAAGTGTTAAACGTGATGACCTGAAGAGAGGTTATGTGCTAGCCAAACCAGGGACAGTGAAACAGCATAACAGATTTGAATCGCAAATCTACCTGTTGAGCAAAGATGAAGGTGGGAGTGCAAAACCCTTTACCGATTTCTTCCAGGCCCAAATGTTTTGTACAACATGGGATGCTCCAGCTTCACTGAAAATCCCAGACAAAGATATGGTCATGCCTGGGGAAGATGCTAAGGTTATTTTTAACCTAAAGAAAAAGATGGTTATGGAAAAGGGTCAGCGCTTTACCATCAGAGATGGAAGAGGAACACTGGGATATGGTGTTGTTACAAACATCATGCCTGATGTTGATGTTGAAGCCTACGAAGCGGAACGCATGCTTAAGAGAAAGGAACAGAAGAAGTCGAAGACAACATAGCTTTATGTGAATAGATACCATTGTCAATCATGTTGAGAGATTTGTAGTGCATCATGTGCAGAACAGTTGTGTGCCAATTATGAGTTAAACTTTTGAGCAAAGGACCTTTCAGAAAATTCTAGTTATCACTTTGTTGAAAAGATGTCATCATATCTTGCAATGATAGTCTGAGGTGTCTTATTTAGTTTTCTTGGTATGACCGAAGTCATGACCGAAGTATGACCGAAGTGTATGGTGTACGAGATAAGTCAACATTTCACTATTATTCTTTGATGAAAATTGTGCTAAATAAACCAGAAGTGTCTGAAAATGTGAACTGAATGATTCATGTTGTCAATTGAGTAACCACTGTAACAAGTAATCCAGAGAATATTTGTTGATTAAACAGAAAATTGGAATGTGATAACACAGTTTTACTCAATCTTCTGTGGCTACCATTATTTTGTTCCTTTTGGGAATTAACTGAAGAGTGTTTGAAATGTGGATCATTGAGAAATGGTAAGGATTACGGCTGGAGTATGATGAACGATAGTGCTCTAACTGTTGTGAAGGTGAAACTTCATAATCAGTGGTTAAAGGGAGGTTACTCTCTCTCACTACCTCATGCAGGCGATTGTGGGCCTACGTTTAAACTAACAAACATTGTCAACATGAAACAGCATGGTTCCAATCTGTAATTGGAATTTACCTTCGAAAATTGAACCTCTGATAATGCGGTTTCACTTTCCTGTAAAATTCGGTATCTCGGTGGCCAATTGGTCTAATGCAATACTGTTCACTGTTCAGAGTTGAGTCCCTTGTGGGTGTCAGTATCCTATGATAATGTGTTCGTTTGAATACTTGGGAGGCTATATCTTCTGCAAGTTTTCTCTGTCTTCCAACATTAACCTGAAACCTGAAATAGCAGTTTGAGGTCGCATCTCATTCACTCACTGTGAGGCCTGTACTTGGGGATGATAATGTTATAGTTAACATTCAGGGGTGGAAATAACCCATTGCCCGACGCCCGAGTCCAGTGGTTTTTTCTGTTGGGCAAGCAAATTTGTATATCACACTGTGCCGGAGTCCAGTTGACTTTCCAATATTAATTATGTTGTTTATTTAAAAATCAACAAAAAAAAAAAAAAAAAAAAAAAAAAAAAAACGGCCGGTATAGTGGAAAAATTATAAGGGCAAGTGATTTTACATGTGCCACTGTACTGGAGTACACTAGCAATTTTAAAGTTATTTCCACCCCTGTTAACATACTGGAAGTTAACCAGGGATATGGTGGACCTTATGATTTATGTATATGTTGTCTTGATGTGTCCCCAAAACGGGGGGAAGTGGGGTAGCCCAGCAGTTAAAGCGTTTGCTCGTCCCACCGAAGACCCAGGTTCAATTCCCCACATGGGTACAATATAAGGCCCATTTCCCGGCCATGATTTTGCTGGAATATTGCTAAAGGCAGTGTAAAATCCAACTCACTCCAAAAACTTACCCTTAACATAACATCTATGTAATTCCGTAGATGTGTGGAAAATTCTTATCCCTGTCTAGTTTTGAGTAGTGTTATGGTAAGTAGGCTGAACAAAGTGTTATAAGATTGACGGCTATCTTTACCAATATGGTATGAAAATTCAGTGGGCTAGTAATGTGACAATTTAAGTCCAGCAGGGATTTACATGGAGTCCTGTATTTGAGGGTCCCTGGGACTCATACTCTTAATTTTCAGGTGTCCTGGACAACAAAATGGGGGTCCCAGACACTTAAATATTATTATTAATACTGTTATTGTATTGTGTATCATGATCATCACATTGTTACAGTAATTAAATTGCAAATAATACCATAACCCAGCTAGTAGCAAACGCGGCGATAACTTATTGTCACTTATTTTTATGAGTATAGGACGCAGGAATTCACCTCCTGTAAATCCCTGGTCCAGAATAGTCCAAGCATCGGACTGTGCATGTGACTGTATTAACGTAACCTCAAGCATGATGTTAAACCTCATTTCCCCTCATTCTACCCACTGTATGGATAAACGATTTCATCTTCTTTCTCTGACACTGAGTTAATTACGTCTATAATCTCGGCAAACAGTAGCACAGAATTTGAGACCAAATTATATGAGCCATGTGCTGTAAGAAAACCATTTTGGTTTGCTGTGTTAATTACAGATTTTCATCTATGGCCACCTTACAATCACAGTTCTGCCTTTTAGTGGTGTCCATGCACCAACAGAAGAAGAAAGTTAGAAATGGAGATCCAGGTGAGAATTGGTCTTCAGCAACCCATGCTTGTTGCAAGAGGTAAGGGGTGGTCATTCTTGCGGACGTGGTTGATGCATGTCATTATATCACGGCTGCTTATATCAATGTTTATATCATCAATCACTGAATAATATTGATTATTCACAGACATGCACCATGCATCAACCAAGTCAACAAGCCTGTCCCCACCTAGACCTATTATTCTTTTCTTTCGACACTCATGGGTTGCTTAAGATCAATTCTAACATCAATAGTATGCAACATTGATTGTGCCAAGAGTGAGTTTAGTTTTATGCTGCTTTTAGCAATATTCCAGCAATATCACGGCAGGGGACACCAGAAATGGGCTTCACACATTGTGCCCATATGGGGAATCGAATCCGGGTCGTCTTGGTGAGGAGGGAACGCCTTAACCACTAAGCTACCCCCACCTCCCCTTTTGCCCCAAGACAACATAAATTCATACATTTTTGTACATTTAGTACAGTGGTCTGAAATAAAACCGTAGGTTCAAATATATAGTATCCATTTGAACAAAGGTAAACAAAACATTTAAAAAATACAATTACACTAATTTAAATATTTTGGGATGAAACTTAAGTAATTTCTTATGGATTTATTAGAGTGGTATGGTACTTGCGTGTCAGTGAAAGAGAGAATATTGCCTCTTGATTATCTCCCCTTGACCACATACGCGACACACCAATGCAGCAAAACTAGTATTCAGAGGATGTATATTACCCAAGTGAAAATTGAGTAGATTATTTTAATATAACTAAACACACTGATGAAGCAGGGATAACTATTTAATATAATTAGAGAGAGAGAGAGACGTACTGGTGGGGTGGGGTCAGTTTTGTACGTAATATTAAAAAGTATGGAGTGGGGGTCATTGAGTTTGTACTTGACATGCAAGGGGGTGTCACTTACTTTGTACCAAAACTTGACTTAATTCTGTAGGGATAAAAAAGTGACTGAACAGACTGCATTAAATCTTGCTAAGCTAAGATGTCAAGGTAAGAACTGATTCAGATGGAGATGGAGATGATCATGCAGCCGGAGGGGCGTATCACGCTTAGAAACAACATTAGAAAGACATGTAGGTATATAGACCCTACCCTAGTACTATATAAAAGGCTCCTTTTATATAGTACTAGGGTAGGGTCTATATACCTACATGTCTTTCTAACGTTGTTTCTAAGCGTGACAGGGCGGTGGGGTAGCCTAGTGGTTAAAGCGTTCGCTCGTCACGCCGATGACCCGGGTTCGATTCCCCACATGGGAACAACGTGTGAAGCCCATATCCGGTGTCCCCCGCCGTGATATTGCTGGAATATTGCTAAAAGCGGCGTCAAACCATACTCACTCACTCACTCTAAGCGTGACGCGCCCCTGTGACGGAAACGCTAGCAGAGCAGACGACACACTAAGGGACGTAACTCCAGTTCCTTACCACCCGGGCTTATGGGTTCCTCATTCAAAAGGCTTAAACAAGCCACACCAGTCCTAGATTGCTACACTGTCTATTATATATCACTTTCAAGGTGCCTGATATCATTGATAGGTGTATGATAATTATATTATCACACGTTGCATGCGCGGATCCAGTGTGTGTGTGTGTGTGTGTGTGTGTGTGTGTGTGTGTGAGAGAGAGAGAGAGAGAGAGAGAGAGAGAGAGAGAGAGAGAGAGAGAGAGAGAGAGAGAGAGAGAGAGAGTGTGTGTGTGTGCGTGAGTGCGTGGCCACCCTCCAAACGAAAATCCTGTATCCGCCCCTGCGTTGTTATATTATTACAGGGCAGTAGTTGCATAAAGTTCAGAGTTGCAGTGAGAGGGAGGTATGCGGATTAATTTACTGGGGTTTATAGTACAGGTTGGGAGTTACAGCGTGTTGAGATGACACAAAGACAAGCCAGATGACACAAAGTTCAGATATTCCGTCGCATCGGCATTATTTCGACAAGGATTCGTCTAAATTTACTAGCATTCCGTAGATTCCTTCAGATCACATCTGGACGGACTCATCTTCTGTGAGTGAGTTTAGTTTTACGCCGCACTCAGCAATATTCCAGCTATATGGCGGCGGTCTGTAAATAATCGAGTCTGGACCAGACAATCCAGTGATCAACAGCACGAGCATCGATCTGCGCAATTGGGAACCGATGACATGTGTCAACCAAGTCAGCGAGCCTGACCACCCGATCCCGTTAGTCGCCTCTTACGACAAGCATGGGTTACTGAAGGCCAATTCTAACCCGTACCTTCACGGGTATTAACACATTTGGAATTCGGAACTTCAGCGTCCTTGTAACTATACACTTTGCACCTTAATCTGTCAAACCTATCTATCCTCGACGTTGCCGTGCAGATAGTCAACGGTCCAGAAGCTCTTCCCTGATTGCAGGCGTCAACCCTCGATCACGACCGAGCAAAGACGAACATGGTCAATATTCATTATTTCATCCCCTTCCTAATGTACTAGGTGCTTGTTGTATACCTGGGTACCTTAAAAACATAAACAACCAAACTACAGTACCCGATCCCGTTAGTCGCCTTTGTCTGATGATTGTGCAGGTGATTATATGTTTCTATATTGTGAATTTATGCAGCAGAGGGCATCGGGTAGAGAGAAGACCGGACAGTGGTTCTATCCCCGGTCGCGTCATGACATACGCGTTCAGGATGTTGCTTGTTGTTATCCTGCCTGGCGCTCGATGACAAGGTCTCGTCAGTTACAGAAACAACTTAATACTTTACACTCGTATGCGGATGTATGGGGTCTAACAGCATATCTGAAAGACAAATATCGAGGTGGACGACTATCGAGAAACGAAAAATGATTCTATAAAGGTAAAAATGTGTGAACGATTCATTAACAGATGTCTTGGAGTAATATTCTCATCTGCATGTAAAACAAATAAATGTATTCAACATCTGCCATTGAGAGGAAAACAAGCGCTTATCCGTTTTTGTATAAATTTGGTATGGTTGACACAATAGTGTTCTCTAAGATATTCGACACACAAATTCAGCCCATTAAATTATATGGCTCTGAGGTGTTCACCTGGAAGCCTCTATCAAGGAATGTCTCAACATTGCTCCCCATACACCGAATGTAACTGTATATGGTTAAAATTGCCGATATCCTTTAGAAATAAATGCAGTCTGTATATAATACTGGCTTAAACGTATCGAAATGCACAATGACCGAATCGCCAAGAAAGCCTATAATATGCGCATGTGCTATGATAAATAGAGAATACTACACGAGGTCTCATTACATACGAATTATACGAAACGAGTGTCCTTCCTATGGTATCTGACCGAGCGATAGGAAGGTCACCAGTTTCGTCTAATTTGTATGTAATGACAGCGAGTGTGGTATTTTATTTATTACCCATGTCTTACATGCATTGAATTGACAAAATAGCGTATTTTTGTTATTGTTATGGTTTCAAACCGAAACCGGTTTCATAAAGAGGTTGCGGAAGAATTTTGTTCTGAAGTACACTTTTGCATGACGTCACACTGTAATGACGTCACTACGCCATTAAACAATTAAACAGCGACACGGCAACGTTCGTAATGTTTACATTCCCACAATGCATCTAAGTTGTAGAATGAATGAATTCACGTGTTTGTTATGAATGAACAAGTAGTTCCGTCCCAACGTGTCCTAACTGAGAGGTCATCGGTTATCCAATCAAATCGTTAGAATCTCAGGTCAAGTCGTTACGACACAGGTCAACGCGATACGACACTCGTGTGACGTACGAGATTAGTATGCAACTACCCATACGTTGACCACGTGGGTAATAACTGTGGATATCAAAACTATGCATCTGCTGTGCTCACTTTATTGTTCTCACATGGGTTTGGATAGACTAACAACTAGTCTCTGAAGTGAACATATTTTACAGAAAAAAGCCCATAGTGAAAAAGTAAATATAATGAAAAGGAGCCCTGAGACTTTCTTCATTTTCAGAAGCTGTGGAAATCTAGACTTGCCACAATTTGTAGACTTGCGTGGGCTTTCTTGGATATGACTAGAATTTGGTATGTATTGTCCAGTGTGTTGGCGATAAATTCCATTTCTTAACTGTATAAGCAAGTTAAGCAAGTCACCAAGCTTGAAATAGTACTGTAGAAAACAGCAGGTTCGAGGAATAACTCACCCTTTTAAAAATAAATAGAATATTGACAATACTGAGGATGGGGTTATTAAAGTTGAAAGTTGATGACTGGGGTTAGTTTTAAGTTTACGTTTACGCCCTCTTTGTAATATGGAGATTTAGATGAGAATTATTTTATGTATCTGTCTAAAATGTATTTTTATAACCGGAATATGTATAAGTTTAGAATGTTTCTTTCGTCGAAGGATGTGATGTTACTGGGAACTACGTAAAGTTATTAAAGGAGAAAAACTTACATAAATATTAGAATAACTTTATGTAACTTACGTACGAATTTACGTACGAATTTATGCACTACTGTAATATGCACATATGCACTTTCTCTGTATATGGGCCAGTGGATTTCATACGATTAAAATATTTGACTTGACTTGCGGAAGGAGTTTCGTACATCTCTGGGAACACATGTTTTCTGTTTCCACAGTTGGGCAACCCTTTTTAATTTAACTATAAGTATATCATAGAGCATGTCAACAACCAAGCGAGCGTAGCGCTGCCACAAATGTTATGAAAATAGACCAACACATACAAACGCAGTGAGACCACGTGACTGTACACCACGTGACTGTACACTCACAGAAAAACCGCGTTATTTGCAAAGCAACATGAGCTTGTGTTCATCGACCGTTGCCCTATTTTCACCGCAGCTACACAGAGCAGTCATAACAGAGGCGGTGTCAGTACGTCTCTTATCACAGACCATATTCGGGCAATGCTTAAAGAAAGCGTGGTCATCACGGGTAGAATATAGCACCATATATAGTAATATGAATCTCTACTTCAGTGGACATAGATGTTGAAGTGTGTGACGGGGTGATCGAAGGTCATTTCAGGATAATGATATCAAAGACTGGGGTTTGTCTGCATCGTTAGAGACCGAAAGCACTGCTGTGATATTGCTGGAAGTTTGCCGACGCTGTAGAGCAACACTCACTCGGGCATTCATTTGTCTCTGGGGAGAGTTTGTACAGGTGAGGTATGAATGGTGTTTGACGTTTTGGAGCTGGAATATATCAGGAGATGGGGACAGTTTCAGAATATCTGCTGCACAGGTATTTTTCTTTCGAGCTGTGCCTTCTACCATGGGACTCCGACCCTGTACCCAGTTATCTGTAACTTCTCTGTTACCCTGTTACTGCATATACGGAACTGCCACGACTCTGTAACTGCTACCAGTAACTGCCACCCTGACCCGCGACTTTACATAACTACAACCCTGTAACTACTACCTGTAATTATCACCCTGTCACTACTACCTGTAACTGCTACCTGTAACTATCACCCTGTAACTGCTACTTGTAACTACCACCTGTAACTACCACCCTGTTACTCAGTGCTACCTGTAACTACCACCCTGTAACTGCTACCTGTAACTACTACCTGTAACTATCACCCTGTAACTACGACCCTCCAACTGCTACCTGTAAACACCACCCCCTACCTGGGACTTTGTAATTAACCCTGTAACATCCATGTTATGACATCCCATAACTTACACCATATAAACGACGTCCTGTAACTACCTGCAACAACTTCCCTGTACCCATGACCAAGCACGTACAACCCAGTGACGACCCTCTGCTATAACGGTAAAGCGGACAACCCAATGTCCGTGACTGACAAAGGTCACAGTGATTCAGATGACCACGAAGCTCCTGACACACCCACACAGGTATGTTATGTCAGGTGTGAAGCCGTAAAGCCAGCTCTGTTATATAAATAGTAGGTCAAAGATTTGTATTACCTTGACTTATCGCTCATACTCAATGTAATGAGAGTGTTATCTATATCTACCCCAGCTCCATATATGGATTTAAAACTAGCTCAATGCATGTGCACTTACGGGTGGCAGGCACCGGGTAAGCTCACACACCCGTCCTTCACGTTTCCTCCGAGAGATTCTCATTTATCAGCGTCGAAAACTGTTCGGTGAGCTTGACCAGGTGATCAATACACATATACTACCTTATATGTGTGTCAGTCAAATACCTGTGTCACTCGGCGTTTAGGTGAGTATATAGAACGTGCGCACACCTAGACGTCAGTATCTCTCACTACCGGTCCCATAGACAGACAACACACCGGTTGATTAGACGCCCAGAGGTAATAACCTGTACAGCTACTCATATTTTTTCAACATGTTCATGTCAAGCCATTCTTTGTTTTCTGAACTTTAGGCCAGATGCCCGTGGACAAGTAAAACGGTTATACTCATATTATTTATGTTTATACATGTGGTGTATAAACGTAGTCACATTCTGCTTGACATTTTGCTTTTAGTTTTCTGAACTTTAGGCCAGATGCCCGTAGGGGATGGTGGGGGTAAGTAAAAGCGGCCCGTCAGCCGGCCCCGTTCCACAAAATGATCGTAGCGCTAAGATGATCGTAACTCCCATACTTTAACATAGACTTACGCCAGTCGAGTAGTGCTACGATCGCATTGAGGAACAGGGCCCAGGACGTATACTTAGATAGGATATAATCGCTTCTTAGATCTTCATACTGTGGACAGATGAGAAGAACGTGATATTCATCTTCAAAATTATTACTGTCAGACATTCTGCAGGATTGGTTCTCAGTAGTATGACATCATTTTTTGTAATACATCAGATCATAATAACCGGATCGAAACTGGAACAGTGATTCTCTTAGTTTCCATGTACACGTGATTACCACATACAATGTTTAATGTTTGCAAAATAGGGTAAATGCGTGGTCCTTTGTTACAATATGTCAAAATGATTTCACAATTCATCATTCGTGTTTGTAGACAACCGTGGTGTTAACACCATTCTGTGCAAATTGATTCTGTTTGTACTTACAACACACAAGAGGAGCCTGAGCCCTGGATAATTGTCATTTTAATAACATGACCACATCACGACCACAAAGTGTGATGCTTGCAGTTTCTATTTATCATCCCAAACTGTGTTCCATAGGTGATATTGCTTGCGTGTGATCAGACGATATCTCCTAGGAGATATCATTTTGACAGTAGATTTTGCACAATGCCCTGACAATGCTATGACGTCATGAACTTGATGACGTCACAATGCTATGACATCGATGCACAGCAAATCTAATGGCAGTACTGTGTTCAGAGATGTACTTTTTCATTGAAGAGTGATTTTTAATGATAACGTCTCGGATATTTGTTACTTTATCAACTCGTGGTGATATATTTGATATCAAAAGACACTCGGGTGAGATCTCTATCTCTACTACTGATGTATGGGTGTTTTTGCTGAACAACATGATATGACTAAATCACGTGCTTTGTTTCAGATTCTAGCACAGTTAAAGAGACTTCTACAGAAGGACAATGTTTGAGTGTTTATCACAGTTGTGGCCCCAGTCTGTGGTAACCCAGGCTCTCGTTGTTGGGAGTGTGGTTGGACTCATCGCCTATAATCTCTTCAAGAAACGATACAACCTACCGCCCGGGCCCAAGGGATGGCCATTGATAGGAAACATTTTAGGTAAATGACTTTTAGGCATATATTTCTTTTAGCTTCATTGATAAAAATAATATTTACGTAGAATAAAGCATCATCCGTAGAATAAAGTATCATCTACACAGAATAAAGTATCATCTACATAGAATATAATATCATCCACGTAGAATAAAGTATGATCTACTTAGAATAAAGTATCATCTACACAGAATAAAGTATCATCTACATAGAATATAGTATCATCTTCGTAGACTGAAGTATGATCTACTTAGAATAAAGTATCCTCTACGTTGAATAACGTATCATCTACATAGAATAAAGTATGATCTACTTAGAATAAAGCATCCTCTACACAGAATAAAGTATCATCTACATAGAATATAATATCATCCACGTAGAATAAAGTATCCTCTACGTTGTTCATAAAGTATCCTCTACATAGAATAAAGTATCCCCTTCGTTGTACATAAAGTATCATCTACGTAGAATAAAGTATCATCTACGTAGAATAAAATATCCTCTACGTAGAATATAGTATCATCTACGTAGTACATAAAGTATCATCTTCGTTGTACATAAAGTATCATCTACGTAGAATAAAGTATCATCTACGTAGTACATAAAGTATCATCTACGTAGTACATAAAGTATCCTCTACGTAGAATAAAATATCCTCTACGTTGTTCATAAAGTATCATCTACGTAGAATATAGTATCATCTTCGTTGTACGTAAAGTATCCTCTACGTAGAATAAAGTATCATCTACGTTGTTCATAAAGTATCATCTAAATAGAATAAAGTATCATCTTCGTTGTACATAAAGTATCATCTACGTAGAATAAAATATCCTCTACGTTGTTCATAAAGTATCATCTAAGTAGAACAAAGTATCCTCTACGTTGTACGTAAAGTATCATCTACGTAGAATAAAGTATCATCTACGTTGTTCATAAAGTATCATCTACATAGAATAAAGTACCATCTTCGTTGTACATAAAGTATCATCTACGTAGAATATAGTATCATCTTCGTTGTACGTAAAGTATCATCTACGTAGAATCAAATATCCTCTACGTTGCTCATAAAGTATCATCTACGTATAATAAAGTATAATGTGTGTAGAATAAAGTATCCTCTACCTTGTTCCTAAAGTATCATCTACGTAGAATAAAGTATCATCTACGTAGAATAAAGTATCCTCTACTTTGCTTAGACTGGGACACTGAAACGCTTCCATAAAGTTCCATTCAAATTGTCGGAATATTTGTATTTTCTAGATATACAAGGGGATCTTATGTTTCGGAAGTTCAGTGAGTTGAGCAAAAAGCACGGTCCAGTTATCAAGATTATGTTGGGTAAGTTTGCCTGGGGCCCGTTTCACAAAGCTACGAATGTCGTAAGTCTATGCTAAAGTATGGGAGTTACGATCATCTTAGCGCTACGATCGCTTTGTGGAACGGAGCCCTGCTCCACGAGTCTGCAATAATGTCCTACATAAGTGAAAATTTATAGACTGTGATATTACAGCTCAAGTCTATTTTTGGCGTCGTGTCATTCGAACAGGTAAACTAATTCAGGTTATAGATAATGGATATATCATACTCTGCATAACTACAAAGATGATTGGATGATTGGAACGTTGAAGATATGCGATATCGGAGATATATCATACCTTGCATAACTGCATAGATGATTGGATGATTGGAACATTGAAGATATGCGATATCGGAGATATATCATACTCTGCATAACTGCATAGATGATTGGATGATTGGAACATTGAAGATATGCGATATCGGAGATATATCATACCCTGCATAACTGCATAGATGATTGGAACATTGAAGATATGCGATATCGGAGATATATCATACCCTGCATAACTGCATAGATGATTGGAACATTGAAGATATGCGATATCGGAGATATATCATACCCTGCATAACTGCATAGATGATTGGATGATTGGAACATTGAAGATATGCGATATCGGAGATATATCATACCCTGTATAACTGCATAGATGATTGGACGATTGGAACATTGAAGATATGTTATATCTGAGATATATCATACCCTGCATAACTGCATAGATGATTGGATGATTGGAACATTGAAGAAATGCGATATCTGAGATGTATCATACCCTGCATAACTGCATAGATGATTGGATGATTGGAACATTGAAGATATGCGATATCTGAGATATATCATACCCTGCATAACTGCATAGATGATTGGATGATTGGAACATTGAAGATATGTGATATCTGAGATATATCATACCCTGCATAACTGCATAGATGATTGGATGATTGGAACATTGAAGAAATGCGATATCTGAGATGTATCATACCCTGCATAACTGCATAGATGATTGGATGATTGGAACATTGAAGATATGCGATATCTGAGATATATCATACCCTGCATAACTGCATAGATGATTGGAACATTGAAGAAATGCGATATCTGAGATGTATCATACCCTGCATAACTGCATAGATGATTGGATGATTGGAACATTGAAGATATGTGATATCTGAGATGTATCATACCCTGCATAACTGCATAGATGATTGGATGATTGGAACATTGAAGATATGCGATATCGGAGATATATCATACCCTGCATAACTGCATAGATGATTGGATGATTGGAACATTGAAGATATGCGATATCTGAGATATATCATACCCTGCATACCTGCATAGATGATTGGAACAATGAAGACATGCGTTGTTTGTGTGTCTACTGTTACTTTGCGAGGTCTAGCTCCACCGGACCCGTGTTAGAATTGGTCTCCAGTAAGCCCTGCTTGTCATAAGAGGCGACTAATGTTATCAGGTGGTCAGACTCGCTGACGTGGATGACACTTGTCATCGTATTCCAATTGCGTAGATCGATGCTCATGCTGTTCATCACTGGATTGTCTGGTCCAGACTAGATTATTTACAGACCGTAGCCATACAGCTGGAATATTGCTGAGTGTGGCGTTAAACAAAATCCAACTCCACCGAAATGGTCAGAAATAATATGGAATTATAACCTCCCAAGTTCTCCAACATATATATATTCAAAACTGACAATTGCTGATGGTTGTGAAATATTGTGTTTAATTCGTTTTAACTTACAATATTGGAAGTGGACATAATTCATTTACAGGTAATCGGATGGCAATTGTCTTGAGTAGAATTGATGTTGTAATGGAAGCTCTCGTCACAAGACAAGCAGACTTTGCCGGGAGACCCGACATCTGTTTCAGTAAGGATAAAGCTACTTATAAACTACGTCTTGCAAAGAAACCATGCACAGCGTCTTTAAAAGTGATATTTTAAGTTTTGAAAATTTCCTTAATTGCCACGAAAATGTTTGGAGTGCATTTCTAAATCTCAGTCTCACAACAACCTGCCATTTTAAAACTGGTAGATAGAAAAAGAATTACATGCAAGTTAACGAAGTTGTCCAGTTTGGAAATCAACTGATTTGGGTGATGAATTAACTGTTTATCTGTTCAGTTTTGCAATGTGAGAGAAAATCGCTAATTCTCAAATATTTTACACTAAACCAAACGTCTTTAAATGAATTTACTTTACTAGTCGAAATTATGGAACTCTACGAAAATTATCTAAAATATGCAAAACAATTATGTTACTATTCAACACAAACAACATGTATTGCAAATGAATATTGTAAACTGATATCTATTCCCACTGTTCGGTGAAGTTGTTGCTACATATTGTATACCTGTATATTAATATGTATAATATGATGAAAATGTTGTACCTTTTTCGTGAGGTTTGACAATCGTTTTGGCAAGAAACTAATACTGGAGAATATGCCACATAAAGAAATTAAAGATCACCGATTGTTTCACATGATTACAGTGAATATTTTTAAGAGTGTAGTTTAAAACAGAAAACTATAAAAATGAGCTGATATTCTTCGTGTAAATCTGCATATTGTTTCAAGGAGACACTGACATCGATGAACATTTTTCTGTAAATCTCAAAAATCATAAGGTGTTATCTTCTTATTTATTGGCTAGTTCATGAAGTCACAGAAGGCATTCACTCTTTTAATTCTTGCGGGACAGACAATCCGTACTTTCTATTTTGGTCCATCTGTTCTATGTTGGCTATTCTATAAATATTTTCTATACTTGTATAAGATTATTTCCACGATGTATATTTCCACAGTTAACGCAATTACCGAAGGAGGAAAAGACATAGCAAATGCATCGTACGGCCCAAGGTGGAAGTTGCACAGGAAAATAGCATCTAAAGCGCTGAGGTAAATGCTCACCATACAATGAACTACGGTTTTTACGAACATAACGGGACCGTTAATTTCGGTTCGTTGTAACTACAGTTCGTTAAACACATTTCGACTAAAGTATATGTAAAGTGGTCAGGAAAAAACTACAAACCCAAAATAGTTTGAGATATCGTCAGCTCGTTGTAAATGTAGTTTACTACATATAGTGAGTGAGTGAGTTTAGTTTTACGCCGCACTCAGCAATATTCCAGCTATATGGCGTCGGTCTGTAAATAATCGAATCTGGACCATACTACATATAGACATGATTTAAAAAACATTCATGAATTAACATATTATGGATAAAAATATACTTCTCTTACAAAATGCACACTTACACCATGGTAGAAATAAAAATATTATTTCTTTATAATCATAGGTCGTCGAGAAAGATAATGAAACACTCCATGATAATGTCATTTCAAAAATAATCTTCAGTTCATGTGAATTAAATGTTTCACAACAATACCAACACCTTCATGTTACATGGGGAAGTGGGGTAGCCTAGTGGTTAAAGCGTTCGCTCGTCACGCCGAAGACCCGGGTTCGATCACCCACATGGGTACAATGTGTGGAGCCCATTTCGGGTGTCCCCTGCTGTGATATTGCTGGAATATTGCTAAAAGCGGCGTAAAACCTCACTCACTCACTCACTCACTCATGTTACCCGCGTCCACCACAGCATAATATCAACAGCATACAAGTGTTTGAAAACTGATTAAAATGAATAATTTCACATCTCAGGCACTATCTAATGGGAGATAACCTCAGCCGGAAAGTGTCCCAATCACTCAACATCACTACAGCGTTGATGAGAAAGGAACAAGGAGCCTTTGATCCTTTCCCCTACCTATCACTGGCGATATCCAACATGATGACAGGAATGCTGTTCAATAAAATCAGGTAATTATATCTTTTCCATGATTGGTTTTTGAATCAAAGGTATACGGGATATTTAGATATGGTTTTTAAGAACTAAAAGGTTCTTTTTATTTTTATTTGAGTCTTTTTCATGTACTTGTTAACACTGGTTCGTTATAGTTCTAAAACCATATACAATCTGTTCTTTGGGTTATAAAGTGCAAATTTCACATGTTCCTCAAAGTCACTCCAGAAACTGTTTCTTGATGCCGTGAACACAAATGTTTCTCTCAGCCATATATAATCAGTAAAATAGTGACCTACATATTTAATGTGTTCCTCTATTTTGTTTTACATGAAAACACAATTGAACATCGTATAAATGTATAAAATCTTATGACATAGGTACGAGCGTGAATAACCATTAGACTTTTAGAAATGTATGCTGTGTGCGAAATAGCAACTGGCCCGCTAGCACGTGGCTAGTTAAAATTCAGTCGGACCAGTAAATCTTCACAGTCACTGTCCTGACTGGCTAGCGAATTGTCCTGGGGTCATTTTTAAATTTTTAATACCACTCTCTCCGACTTGTTGAGTTAAAATACACTTTTAAATCATGCAAGATCTATGGCCTGAGAAATGATGGTATATTACCTATTTGTAATCTTTTGCTTAGTTTCTACATTCAGATTTCGGTCAAGTGAATTATTTTCATGGGCTAATAACTTTCATGCATAGCTAGCGCGACTGGCAAGAAAAATGTGGAAACTATTTCCCACACCGAATGCATGTACGCCATGGTCTATCTGTCCTTTCCAATTCTAGCGAAAATACAGACTCCGAAACCTACAAAACATACGTAGTGAACCTTGACGAGTTCATGAAAGAAGCAGGATCAGGCCTTCTCGAGGATGTTATTCCCCTGCTTCATCTGTGCCCAACGCCGAAATTCAGACGTGTTGTTGGCGTGGCAGGAAGGATAGCAGACGCCATCAGAATGGAAATTGCAGCCCATAGAGAAACGTTCAAAAAAGGTTTGGCAGCCATATTTATCTAATTGCAGGTTCATTAGCGTTTTAAGAAATATAAATTGGTGAATAAAAAGCGTTTGTCATTTACATGTACACTGAAAATGCAATGCTGATTATTAAGGATTTAATTTTAGAATAATTCTCTGGGAAATGTGTATTTAGATGTGTCGAAATGCTGGGTACATACTAAGTAAGTTTGATACCGTAAAGTACCCTATATAAAAATATAGAGATGACTCTGGATTTTGCGTCAATGGCAAAAATAAATGCCCATAAAAAGCACTTGACACTTAACACTTGAAACTTTTGTTTAATCATGTAGATATTACCAATTTAAATAATTAACCGAAGAATACAACACAAGTATACGTGGAGAAAAAATGGCAAAGAGTTTTTTCTTTAGTTTTTCAGTGTAGAAAGGAAACTTATCATGAACAGGGTTGTAAAGCTCTTTTATCGTTTATGGACTGAAAACACATTCAAATTGGTGGATACAAACTTTGTGAGGAACTGTTCTCAATCTTTTCAAATGCGAAAAAAGCCAGAACAAACAAGGCACTTATCTGACCTAGATAATTACACTTATTTAACCTAGACAATCGCCTATCTATTAGAATATCATTGATCTGTGACACAAAACATGACACTTTCCAAGGGCAAAATTATGGTGAAAGAAGATTACATTAAATATGGACAAGGTAAAAATATAAGAATGCGGTTGCTGTTGCTGTTAAAGATGAGATACGGGACTTCACGGATGCTCTGATATTGGCTCAGAAAGAGGCTGAAGAAGAGGACGACCCGACCCTGATGTCACAGATCACAAACACACACATGGTTCATACAATCAACAACCTAGTCGGTGGTAAGTGCGTTGTAAGGCTCAGATCGATGCTCATGATGTTGATCACTAGATTGTCTGGTGGCTGTAGCTGGAATACTTTTGAGTGCGGCGTTAAACAGGAAATAAACAAACGTTGCAAGCTTTCTCCTGAAAGGTTCACGAGAGTTGTACTTTACCTTCCCGTGGCACAGGAACCCAGACTAGGTCGTCAGTATTTCATGTTTTTTATTATAGCGTGTAACTTTTCGACTGTCATAATATGTCCTGGACAACTGTGGAAAGAGAGAATCATTATATAATATATATATTACACCTGCAGAAATCACTTGTGTGTGTGTACACACACACACACACACACACACACACACACACACACACACACACACACACACACACACACACACACACACAAAACACAACAAAACCAAACACACAAACAAACACACACACACACACGCGCACACACACACACACACACACACAAGTGATTTCTGCAGGTGTATAAGCAATAAATATACTGAAAGGCAAAAGAAACGTCGTAATATTAGAAATGACATTTGAGTATCAAGGGAGTATTTGAACCTATTTTTTTAAATATACACCAGAAGTCAAGTTTGAGGAAACATGAATCGTGGTCGTATAGCCTGCATTGCCCAATAAAGTATTGTTTGAGATTGAAGTTAGAAATGTTTTTGTTTTTTGGAGAGGGAAAAGTTCCCACAAACACAACATTGAAATCGAAATGCACGTGCATGATACATGCATTCAGGCATAAATTGCCGGCTTGAATGGCAATCGTTCACTTGTTTTCTGAACACAGCAGCTATGACTAGGTTAACGAGAGATCAACCACAACAAGCTATTGGACGTCTGCACGCTGGTCAACATGCTCGAGTCATTGCTAATGACTTCAGTTGCAGCGTACGAACGATAGAACGTCTTAGAGTGCGACACAACGCCACCAGCAGCACTGATGACCGTCCACGTAGTGGTCAACCCCGTGTAACGACACGTCGCCAGGACCGTCATATCGTCCATCAACACGTGCAAGACCTATTCGCAAGGGCCAGAGAAACAGCTTGGGTGACCATAGTGACCTACCATTCGGCGACGTCTCCAAGCCAGGAACCTGTTTTGTCGATGTCCTGCCTGTCGAGACCCATATTCACCAAACGGCACCGCCGGGAACGTATCCAAGTGGACACAACAGCGGCAAAACTGTCGTGGGGGACAATGGAGAGGAGTTATCTTCTCTGATGAAAGTCGGTACTACATTTCAGTGGCGTATTATTTTAAAAAAATAGGTTCAAATGTTCCATTGATACTTAAATGTCATTTCCAATATTACGACATTTCTTTTGCCTTTCAGTATATATAAAATGTGAGTCCAGATATTTCTTCTTGCCAAATCTCCTTTATAACGTGAATCCTGCAGTCCCCCAGGAAAACTCTACCAGTGATGTCCTATCTTATCACTTAATACAGTGATATTTTGCCTGATATGGACATTTTTTGCCACCCCGATATTGGCTTCGGTCAGATATGGGTGTCTCGGGATGATATCGGGCAAGATATGAAAATGAAGTGTAATAATTTCTACAAAATAAACACCTTACACACTAATCTGTAAAGAGAACCTTTTAGTTCTACAGAAGGATCCCCACCGGATCTTGTACGTTTCTGACATATGTCACTTCTTGGTAGGATGAACCTGGTTGATCTGGTCATCGACCTTGCACTTGACTTCTATGTGGCCCATCGCGACCATATGTTTTTTAACAGTGACCAGTATCACTTATTAACCGAATTACGAAAGGTGGGTATAAATGTTGACATTTATATGATTGGTTAGGGTTCATTTATCTAATATTTCAGCCGGTATAGACACCACGCGGAATACACTCCACTGGGCACTCCTCGCCATGGCGCTCAACCCTGACATCCAGAAGAAGGTACAAGAAGAGGTGGACTCTGTTATTGGTGCGTTTTGAAAGAGTTGACATGTGATATTACCTGTTGCGTAATTAATATGTTCCAATTTGGTGGGGGTTGAGGTAATTGTGTGTCAGTGGATTTGGGGTGGTGAGTGCAGGTAGGGTTGGGCAAAGGATTTGAGGTGGGAATTGAGGGGAGGGTGGTGATTGCTGATAGGGGTAGTAGTTGAGGATGGGCGTGGGCACTGGATTTGGGGTGAGGGATGGCGGTACGGTGGTATAAAACTGCTGCCATGGCCTCTAATTATTAAGATGCATCTCAATCATTTATTTACATCTTCTCTGAACATTATCAAACAACACAATTATTTTACGAAATGGTCATAAATGGTTTCTGAATAAATATACTTTGTTTCCATGGCACTGAAAAGAGAGTGCGTTCTGTTGAACAGACCACAAACAGCCTATTATTATACATACCGTTATTGAATGTACAGTAGATTACAGAAAAATACAAACATACACCGAAGGGGTATTCACTGTATTGAACCGTGAATGAGTTTGTTTTCTTGTGACTGACTGACTGACTGACTGAGTTTGGCTGTTCAACAGCAATAACTTCATGTCAGTATTAAGAAGAGTGTACTCAGAACTCTACATCTATCTGTTTGTCCCCGCTAAAGGTATATGAAAGGTGGTGACCACAGAAAAATACATGTCCATCGGTAGTTTTACCTTTCCTAAACGACCTAAGCTTTTCTAGCAATCACGAGTTATATCCCAAAGATGAATTCGTTAGTTGATGCAGTAGCAATAATCCAGCTGAATAACTGCAGTCTGTAAATGATTCAGCCTGGGCCAGATTAACCTGTGATTGGCATCATGAACCCCGATGAACGGATTTGGGAAACGATGACATGAATCCGACCACCCGATCCCGTTAGTCGCCTCTTTGTACAAGCATGGGTTACTGAAGAACAAACCCAACCCGGTTCCTAAAGTTATCAGTCAATTGGTGTTTTGCTGGGTTGCTGGGTTGCTTGGTCTTGATCCAGGACGGAGTATTCTTTCTGGTTGTTCGTTTCTTTAAGAAAAAGACCGGCATGCATGACGGTATAGAATACCACGCTGACCAATACACATATGCTCCTAGATATAGCAGGGGCACCTGAACTTTTTATTTGGATAGGAAGTATAAGCGTTAACAAATTTTTCAATGACAGACATCTTGTGAACTCACCACCATTTCTCTTTATCACCACCCTTAAACACAACGCATGGGATGCACGTGCTCAACGCAGTTGCTCCCATACACGTGCATGAGGTGTCATTCTTGATTTTGACGGTTTTCAAGAAGGTCGATAAATCAATGTAGACCATTAATTTTGACAATCATCTTGCATCACACAGTTGTTAGTGTTTGTTTCTAGCCGTTGTACTCGTCCTACACCAATCATCTTTCAAGAGCGATGACTGTACAAACAACTGTGGTCATAAGGAAGTGCAAGTGGTGATGCATTCTCAAAACATTCATTATTATCATATCAACATTGACTGACTCCGATATATCTCCCATTTTTTTCAATCGTAAATAAGAAATGAAGTTCCCCTACTTTTTTTGAAGGGTACATATACATATACAGTGAAACCTGTCTAAACCGGCACCCCATGGGACCGAAATAAAATGCCGGTTTAGACAGGGTGCCGTATTGGACAGTGACGATCATTTTCATTTGTACATAAAATAGTGTTAACATCTTATCCAGATGATACCAGATGTTGCTATTGTTGCAGATGCTGATTTGAACGTCCACGTCTCGGACAGAGACAAGTTGCCATATACAGAGGCTACGCTACATGAGATAATGAGGATTCGGTCTGTGGTTCCCTCGGGGCTTCCCCATTCCACTCTCTGCGATACCACAGTTGGTACGTATTACTCATAAAGTCTGACTGAGTGTTGATCACAGCAGTGGTGAGGTGAGGTGGTGGTGAGGTGAGGTGAGGTGAAATGGGTTTTAACGTCATACTTGAGCATATTTCGCTCATGTGTATGTATTGCTGCTTGTACTAGCCCAGACTGCTAGCTCACTGGGATACAATGCCGCAGTTAAGCATGAATACCCCACTCAGACACATTATACTGACTCCCGAGCCGACCAGTCCTTGTTGTACCCATTAATGCCGAGCGCCAGGCTGGGATCAACAAGTACTATATTTTACATCTTTTGGTATGGCGCTGCCGGGGATCGAACCCGCGACCTTCCGCTCTCTAGGCGGACTCTATAACCACTACACCACGGAGGCGACTCAGCAGTGGGGATGACACGAATGAATTGGCATAGAATAGAAACATGTGTGATATCTGTGTGTCTTGAATGACCTTGACACCGATGATGCTCAATGCGTGTGTGATGTGTCTGCGTGTGTCTTGGGCTGTGTGCGGCAATGCAGATGAGCGCGAGGCTGTGGTAGGTAGGGACGAATGATCAGTGTTTGCCCTCAACCCTGAAAAGCTGCAGGCCCTAAGGACCCAGAACCATAAAAGGTTGTAGGCTCTATATTTTGGCTACAATATAAGTAATTCCCAGCGAACAAAAAAATGTGACAGCTAAGAAACTGAGTTAAAGTGTTTAATGTAGAAATTTACACTAGAAATTACTGAATGATATTATCTGAAAAATAATACTCTTAGTTATTGGGGATAAGAACGCCGTCGGCTATAAGGACCTGCAGAAAACAAAAGCTGTTGGTTCGAGTGGTTTTCAGTCCGCTTCGGGCCTGAGGACCGACGTTAATTTCAAACGCTGCGAATGATGTTGTTGAAGAGTGAGTGAGTTTAGTTTTACGCCGCTTTTAGCAACATTCCAGCAATATCACGGTGGGGGACACCAGAAATGGGCTTCACACATTGTACCCATGCTGTTGAGAGTAGTTGCAATGTTGCTGTTGATGACGAATACAACTGAAGATGTGATGTCAGTAATATACTGTCATTTTCAGGTGGCTACGATGTTCCCAAGGGAACAATGGTGTTCATCAACCACGATGCTTTGCACTTTGACCCTGACCAATGGGAGGACGCCAAGACATTCAAACCTGAACGATTCCTTGACTCAGATGGGAATATGGGCCCCAAGCCAGAAAGCTGGCTTCCGTTCTCTGCCGGAAGGAGAGTCTGTCTCGGCGAGACTGTCGCCAAACCTGAGCTTCATCTCTTTTTCGCTGGAATCCTGAGAGTGTTCACGATTTCACTTGCTCCTGGGACACAGCACGACTTTGAGCCAAAGAGCACGGGAGCACTTAATACACCAGGGAGATACCAAGTCGTCGCCAAATCAAGAATATGAAGTCGTTCAAACATCATTATCAGAAATGGGCTCATATCTTAAAGCTCTTAGCGACCACTCTCTTTAGAGTTTTTTAAGGTCGTCTTCTCCATATAAGTATTTATATACCAATCGTAAGTAAAACTCTGCATTGGCCTTCATTTACGTTAAAGGTTATTTTCTGAAAGTCAATTGTTAAAAAATATCACGATGGGATCAACCAAGCACATTACACATTACTACGCAAGATGTATATAAGATTGAGTTTACAGTCGCAGCCATTTCATAGTTTGACTTTTCCTGCCCTTTTCAGTGCATATTCATGTTCATATTCCATGTGTATAAATGTATATTCCTTTGTAAGGCCAAATAAAAAAATGTTGTGGTTCCAATTACACCTTTTTAAAATTTAAGGTAGGTAGGTAGGAAAGAATTTTTTAAACATTTTTTTTAGAAGTAAAGTACGAACTAATAACACATTTATCAATGTGTAATTGTTTATTCAATCAGGCTTGCGACCATCATGTCGACTTTCTCTATCAGAATGACTGATGTCCGTTGGTGCTGGGGAAAGAACAATGGTATCTGAAAGCTTATGTTATTCATACCTCGTAAAGAAACTAGGGTCGGCACCAGAATTCAAGGGTCGGTCGGGTAATCGGAACCACAACATATTTTTTAGGCCTAATATTGACATTTACATTTTTCTATATCGTCTTTTGTGGTTCGTTTGCAAGATTGTGTTGCTAGTTTTGACACTGTTTGTGTTATTGCTGTGTCGTAAATATAATTTATTATTATATATTCACTTCCACGTTCTACTTCTGTCTATCCCATGAAGATCTGGCTGAGAACTGGACCTCAGAAAACATGCTTGTCGTAAGAGGGTTTAACGGGATCGGGTGGTCAGGCACGCTAACTTGGTTGACTCATGTCATCGTATCCCAATTGCGTAAATCGATGCTCATATCACGGGATTGTCTGGTCCAGACTCGATTATTTACAGACTGCAATGTAGCTGGAACTTTGCTGAGTTATAGCGGTGTTGGACAACAAAACACAATTGTACCATCTTCTTGATTAGAACGGGCTCACTGTGATATACATGTATATGGCCGTAAGAGGCAGCGAGGTAGACAAGATGGTCAAATTCATACAGCCATTTCAAAGTCATTCATACAGCCATTTCAAAGTCATTCATACAGCCATTTCAAAGTCTTTCATACAGTCATTTCAAAGTCTTTCATACAGTCATTTCAAAGTCATTCATACAGTCATTTCAAAGTCATTCATACAGTCATTTCAAAGTCTTTCATACAGTCATTTCAAAGGCGTTTATAAAGTTATTTTCAAGCATCATTAGTCGCTGGAACCGCCCGAAGGTCGCGGCACCACAAGAGATGTTAAAACTGACACTTATAATATCATTAAAATAAACAACATGCGCTGTTCTAACGTACAAGAAAGTTCTGTTAATGACGCCACAACTAAGAAGTATTTGTCAAATAAACTCGTAATTTACACTGCCGTCATGAACTTGAAATGTCGCTGCCGTGGCGTTAAAACAACCCCAAACAAACACCCTATCTCTGTTAATATTTCACGCCATGCATTTGAGAACCTTAGTCTGAGCTTGTATTTTTAATTATACTGTTTCCATATTACCATAAATATTGTGAGTGAGTGGAGTTTAACGCCGCTTTTTGACAGTAATCCGATCAGCGTCAGCTTAATGTGGTAGGAAAGCCCCAACTTGGGCCAAGTCCCACACATGTACACCTGTGGGGAAACCTTTTAACAAACCTGGAGACATAATTGGGATTCGAACCCACGGTCATAGGTTTGGGTGTGCCAATGCCGGCAATAGGCGATTGATTTGTTTCGGGCAATATTCCAGCAATATAAAGCGGGGCCCCCATCCACTTCGCATACTATACACATGTGTGGAATAGACTCCGGGTCTTCATATAACGAACAAACAATTAACCTAGAGAAATCTTTGAATGGCATTTAGAAATGAAGGGGAATAAAATTCATGTCATCCTCCCTATCATGAGGAACACGATGTTTCTCGGTATATTCTCACGTCTTCATCAGGCCAGGGAAAGCTGGGTAACAGGGAGCTTGGTATATGTACACATGAAAACTTTCATCGTGTTCCCCCTTCCTATCTCACCACTGAGGTATTTGCTGTAAATCGTGAGTTGGGTTTTACACCGCTTTTAGCAATATCCGAGCAATATGACAACGCATTACACCATAACTGGGTTTCACACGTTGTAGCCATGTTGGGAATCGAACCGGGGTTTTCGAGGTGACGAGCGAACCATGTAACCACTAGGCTATAAGCTACCAGCGCTCCCTTGCTGTTATGAATCGCAAGACATATCCAACTATGTACGCATTCAGTGGGTGATCGTGCGTGCTGTCTGATCTTTGTGGTATCACGGATATCAGACATCCGCCGTGAGGAAGAGAGGCTTTTCCTCACGAATTATTCATGTTTAAAGAGAAACATCCGTGTTCATTGGGTGGCCCGCTCGGGGTTTCCTTTTGTTAGACAATGGTAGCCAGACTTTCCTATGGGAGCGCATTTATGCCACAACCTAAACAAATATCATTCGTCTCCGTAGATGATACTCACATCGACATGTATGTTAGTACAATGTGCCCAGAACAAAATATCAGTTATCGAAATATGTGTCGACTTCGGAAGCAATATTTTCTCGAGTAATCGACAATATTACCGGTCTGTTCTATGTAACGTTGGACTCGAGTGAGTGAGTGAGTGAGTGAGTGAGATAGAGTGATTTTACGCTGCCTTTTGCAAAAGTCAAATTATATATATCACGGCAGGGGACACCAGAAATGGGCTTCACACGCTGTTCCCATGTGGGGAATCGAACCCGGGTCTTTGGCATGGTGAATGGACGCTTTAACCACTTGGATACCCCACCACCCTTCAACCTTGGTACTATCTGAACATTAAAGACAGTAACTCATTTAAATGTGTTGAAAGTTTTGATAAATGATATCTTTCGAGTTCATTTGTTTTACGAGTTGACAGTTTGACAATATCAAATGATTTCAGTAAGTTGTGAACATATAAAAAAGGCAAATTGACAATAAAACATTGAAATATCTCTTCCACGTAGGGGTAAGTACATTGCACATATATTATATAATCTAGACTGTAGCGGGGTGGTGGGGAAGCCTAGTGGTAAAAGCGTATTGCTGGAATATTGACAAAGGCGGCGTAAAAATAAACTTATTCACGCACTCACTCACTCTAGACTGTAACACTAATGTACTTCCTTACTTTCCTGCTTAATGAGTGTGCGTTGTTTACGTTTTGCACACATGCAATGTCTGTGAGTATGAAGACAGGGTAAGACTTCCTCCCGTATCCCCCCTAAATGTTAAAGATGAGGAGAAATGTCTTTGCTTGGCATTTATACTAGTAAAATATGTCTTTCAGTATGTTCAGATACAATATTAAAGAAACATGTTAAAACTCACCCTTATCAGATGAGGAATATATATTCAGGTGATATGATTTGACTAGAATGAAATTTAAGGGGGCATACGGGCGGACGTCTTTCCGGAAGATTAACAGGAGATGTAAATTTCTCGAAAATTTCTAACATAATAAGAAAAAATACACCACTTAAATATGAAAAAAATTAAAATCCTGTATTTGTCATAAATAAAAGCTACTTTCACATTTCACATGTTCCACGGCATGGACTTCGACAATAGTAGGAAGGAATATAGCCCAATGTTGTGTTTGGAGGGTCTTGACGAGTGGGTTCAGATGTGGCACAAAGCCAAATGAATACACATCGTGCACGCACAAAATGTTACGCGTGTGAGTTAGTAGTAACTGTTAAAGTCGTAGGCTGCAAGACACGAAGCTGGCATTGGCAATTCAGAGATCGATAGTATGAGCGTCGATCTACGCCTCCATGCAGCCTTAGAATTTTCATTTCAAGGGTGGCCTTTTATGGTACAGAGGTTATCACGCTTGTCCTTAAGGGATAGAGGGCATCATAAGGGCGGTGGGGTAACCCAGTGGTTAAAGCGTTTGCTCGTCAAGCGAAGGCACGGCTTCGAATCCCCACATGGGTACACCGTGTGAATCCCATTTGTGGTGTAAAAAAGCGGCGTAAAACTAAACTCACTCACTGTAGGGGGAATAGAAAATCTTCCGTTTTAGGAGTGAACACTATGCATTCAGCTCGCCAGTGCGATTCTTGCTTTCCGTCAGAAAAAAATGCTTTGTTCAAGTAACATTGTAAATTTGTGTCCTGCCGTAATAGTGATGATGTGACGATGACAGCAATGATGATCATGTTGACGATGATATGGTGCTAATTACCTATATCCAGACAAAAAAACACTGGCATTTACGTTTTAGAGTTAATTACACATCAATCATTTAGAAATATCATTTTTCATGTTTTATCGGTCATAAGCAAGGATAATCATGAGACGTCATGCTATGTGTCAGCCCACTTGTTAAGAGCCTCTTGGATGAGTTGCACATCATAAAACGCTATTTTGCATCCCGCCGGAGAGTTTCAGTGGGAGATCTGTCTCTGGTGATTGTGAATTACTATTTACTAACAGTTGTGACTTTTGCTGACATTGTGAGGTATGTGTAAATTCAGGTATGTTTTCTAAGAGAAATCAACTAACTCTTACCCCAGTAGCAGTCTCAAAATTATTATTCAATGGGTATACAGGCTTGTATATCACTTCGATATACTTTTATAGTATGTACATCACATCAGGGGGTATTTAGGATTGTATGCAACTGTGTGTATGGGCTTGTATATCATGTCAGCGATCATTTTGGCTTATATATGCATGTAGGCTTCATGTCAGAATGTATATGTATATGTCTATCATCTTAATAGGTATATGGCATTGTATATCTTGTCAAAAGGTATATGTTTTGTCTATCGTTTTAATAGGCATATGGTATTGTATATCTTGTCAAAAGGTATATGGTCATGTATATCATTTTAATAGGCATATGGTATTGTATATCTTGTCAAAAGGTATATGGTCTTGTATATCATTTTAATAGGTATATAGTTTTGTATATCTTGTCAAAAAGTATATGGTCCTGTATATCATTTTGATAGGCATATGGTGTTGTATAAAAAAAGTTAAAATATATATTGTCTTGTGTATCATATTAATACGTATAACGTATCGTATATATTGTCCAAAGGTATATTGGCTTGTATATCATAATTTTAATAGGCTTAAATCATTGTATGCCATGTCAACAGGTCTAAGGGTTGTACATACTATCAGTTGGTATATAGTCTTAACTATGTTTGTGCAGATGACAAGGTGCCATGGATGTTGAAGAAAATGTGAAAGCTATTCACGATGAGGGCGAGGAGAGGGGGAACCGACCGATCA